CAACATCAATTGGGCAGTGTTTAACATCCTCAGCCCTCTATACTGGGTACCTAGTACTGTAGGATTTCCCTAGATTATGATCATCTCTGGATAGGTAGGTATACGGTATACCCCTTTGAATCTTGGATGTGCGTCAAAAAAAAAAAGGATCTATTGTGGATTCGGCCAAAAACAAAAAGTTATAAATATCAATCAGTTGTGGGTCTAGTGCCATTACCATCCATTACCCAGGGTATATCTAGTGCCCTAGGTATCCTAGATGTACCTAGTGAGGCCCGGATGGTTCTTCCCTCCGACTTGGAAGCCAGCTCTTTGTCTGGTGGCACCTTGGAAAGGTGCACCAAGTCGCATCAACATATGGCGAATGGTTTATATAATATATTAGTAAAAATCGTAGTATACATATATGTACATTGCTTGATTTTAATCAATAATGTATATATATATATACATATATATTTTATAATTATAGTTATATTGTATTATAAAATTAAATGAACCGTAGAATGATACACTGGCCACGACAATGGGGCTCCCCACACCGCACAGCAGCTCCGGTGTTGAACCAGACTCCTTGCTTCAACACGTCTTTGAAAGCGATGATCCTCGCTAAACAGTACGTTGAAAGTACTCAAATGGAGAAGATGTTTCAAAAATACAGATATCAGCGTCTTGAAAGCCAGCATGAGAACCATATTCATCCATATTCCAAATATACTCACACATAGACAATCTCACATATCATATTCCACTGAAAGATAGAGCAAAAGACTTTTCTTTACGCCGTCCTAGCGGCTGCTGGTCGAACAAACCAAGGATACTGAGACCTCAGGGATGCTCAGCGATAGCGAAAACCTGGAAATGATGTGACGAAAAGCTGCAAAACTCAACGCATTCGCATCCCCGACTCTCCACATCTGCTCGGATCCAACCTTAGGTCGAAGATTCTGGAACTGATGCAACATGTTTTTGTCAAAATGCTTTGAGCACATCTGTCTGTGTGGGCCACTACACTGGTCTGGCCAGGAAAAAAAACGTACTTCTTGGAAGGACGACTTTGAAACTGTCATTGAACCATGGTAAACCATGGTAAACCATGGTAAAACATAAGGTAAACCATGGTAAACCATATGGTAAACCATGGTAAACCATATGGTAAACCATGGTAAACCTTATTTTCAGGCACCCCCATGTTGGTCAAACGGTCAATGGCAATTGCTTTCACTGTTCTATTTACAGCGTGCGTATTGCATAGCCTTGCTTCCAAAATGATCTCCTGAAATCTTAGTGGCCGTCGTTCCCCCCCGTTGATCTTGAGGTGTCTCTAGCAAAACATAATAATGTCTCTAGCAGAACACAAAATGAGGTTTGCAAAAAAATATGCATACTTTTGTGATACCAATGTGTCCACACTGAGGCACCGAACTCTGCAGGCAAGGTCAGACCATGTTAGACCATCGGACCCTTTTCCACTTGATAGAGGGCGCGGCAAGAAAAATGAAATCCACAATTGAAATTTCAGACGGGTCGTCCCCCCATTGATTTCATTCCCGAGAGCGTCTGAGCGCAGGGTTCTTCCAATAGTGGGGGTCTGTAAAACATCTTCTCATCTTCACATCTTCTCTCACATCTGCTCATCTTCACATCTTCTCTCACATCTTCTCTCACATCTGCTCATCTTCACATCTGCTCATCTTCGCATCTTCTCTCACATCTGCTCATCTTCACATCTTCTCTTCACATCTGCTCATCTTCACATCTGCTCACATCTGCTCATCTTCACATCTTCATCTTCACATCTTCATCTTCACATCTTCACACCTTCTCTCACATCTTCTCATCTTCACATCTGCTCATCTTCACATCTTCTCTCACATCTCTCTCACATCTTCTCTCACATCTGCTCATCTTCACATCTTCTCTCACATCACATCTGCTCTTACATCACATCTTCTCTCACATCTTCTCTCACATCTTCTCTCACATCTGCTCATCTTCACATCTTCTCTCACATCTGCTCATCTTCACATCTGCTCATGTCTCACATCTTCTCTCACATCTGCTCATCTTCACATCTGCTCATCTTCACATCTGCTCCTCTTCACATCTTCTCATCTTCACATCTTCTCTCCTTTCTCTCTCCCTTTTCTCTCTCTCGCCTTCTTTATCTTTCTCTCTTAAGGCCGAGGGTGGTGCCGGCGGCGAGTCACGAAACGTCAACCCTTTCGCACGAAATGAGGGTCGATCGTCAAAAACTGAAGAAAAATTGCGATTTTACTTGTGCTAAAGCAACCCTTTCGCACGAAATGAGGGTCGATCGTCAAAAACTGAAGAAAAATTGCGATTTTACTTGTGCTAAAGCAACCCTTTCGCACGAAATGAGGGTCGATCGGCAAAAACTGAGGGAAAATTGCGATTTTACTTGTCCTGGAGCAACCCTTTCGCACGAAATGAGGGTCGATCGTCAAAAACTGAGGAAAAATTGCGATTTTACTTGCCCCGGAGCAACCCTTTCGCACGAAATGAGGGTCGATCGTCAAAAACTGAGGAAAAATTGCGATTTTACTTGCCCCCGAGCAACCCTTTCGCACGAAATGAGGGTCGATCGTCAAAAACTGAGGAAAAATTGCGATTTTACTTGCCCCCGGAGCAACCCTTTCGCACGAAATGAGGGTCGATTGTCAAAAACTGAGGAAAAATTGCGATTTTACTTGTGCCGGACTTGTCTGTGTGTAAAAGCGTCTGTGTGTAAAAGCGTCTGTGTGTAAAAGCGTCTGTGTGTAAAAGCTTCTGTGTGTAAAAGCCTTTGTGTGTAAAAGCGTCTGTGTGTCAAAGCGTCTGTGTGTAAAAGCATCTGTGTGTCAAAGCGTCTGTGCGTAAAAGCATCTGTGTAAAAGCGTCTGTGTGTAAAAGCGTCTGTGTGTAAAAGCGTCTGTGTGTAAAAGCTTCTGTGTGTAAAAGCCTCTGTGTGTAAACGGGTCTGTGTGTCAAAGCGTCTGTGTGTAAAAGCGTCTGTGTGTAAAAGGCTCTGTGTGTAAAAGCGTCTGTGTGTAAAAGTCTCTGTGTGTAAAAGCGTCTGTGTGTAAAAGAGCCTGTGTGTAAAAAGCGTCTGTGTGTAAAAGCGTTTGTGTTAAAAGCGTCTGTGTGTAAAAGCGTCTGTGTGTAAAAGCGTCTGTGTGTAAAAGCGTGTGTGTGTAAAAGCCTCTGTGTGTAAAAGCGTCTGTGTGTAAAAGCGTCTGTGTGTGTAAAAGTCTCTGTGTGTAAAAGTGTTTGGGTGTAAAAGTCTCTGTATGCAAAATCGTCTGTGTGTAAAAGTCTCTGTGTGTAAAAGTGTTTGGGTGTAAAAGTCTCTGTGTGCAAAATCGTCTGTGTGTAAAAGCGTCTGTGTGTAAAAGTCTCTGTGTGCAAAAGCGTCTGTCTGTAAAAAGTTCTGTGTATGAAAAACTTTACAAAAAATTACAAAAATACAATGCAAACTATTGTCTTGTACTAGTCATATATTGTCTTGATACTACTCTTCTCGTCTGCCTATAATACATCTTTATCATATTATCTTGTAATATAGTGTCTCCATACTAACAACAGAAGACTCTGCTCCTCTACGCTCTCGGGCCATCCGTCGTCTAGTTTTTAAACCCGTGCCCATGCTTATATCATATATCCATTCACTTGCTGTATAGTAGCCTCTCGAACAACATGAAAAGTACAATCCTCGTAAAACAGTGATAAACTATACTGTGTTCCATTTAGGGGGTTGATTTATACCCAATTCAATGCCTGTTGAATCCGCACCCAAGAAACGCTGTGATGATCACCTCTTTCCCTGCGAAAGTCTTGATCATCAGCTGTCGGCTGTGAAGATGAAGTCCTCGGCAAAACTGGTGGAGTGGTGGCTGATCTATGGACTACTTCCATTTTATGGGGAATATTTATAATTGCAGGGGGTCGAACAGATTCTAAATGTATCTCTTATCTTGTTGTTCATCAATAGTTGTGGCATGTTATTTTTCAATGGTCCCTTCAATCAATAAGAAGATAAGGTGAACTACCCCCGTGGAAAAATCTCATAGAGTCACGTGGGATCCACATCCAGCAACTGGGAAGGACCTATAGGTGTGCTTCACCAAAGGTCACTATTGTGAAGTGCCTCTGGCCGCTGGGGCCACTTTCTAATCTTCAGTTTCACAATTCAAGCAGTGCTTTGTCAGAACAGTGCTTCATTAACGTCGCAGCCCTATGACTACATACGCACTTGCATTTCTGGGGTTGCAAAAGACGGTGGTACACGGTGGAAAAGGTGGTACATTTATCCTACTCATAGCCTGTGATAAACTCATTGGCCACATGGAAAAGAATTGTCCACGCTGGAGAGCTACCCTCTGGAAATCAATTATGGTTTGCCGATCTGCTCATTACAACCTCCATGTTTTGTAGATTTCGCGGCCAGCCATGTTTGCCGGAGGATAGCCTATTAATCATTAACCTGGGCAAATCAAAATAATTCACTAACCTGAAACAAGACCCTATTGGGATCATTTCTCTTACTACTAACCAATATTCCAATGATCCAGTGAGGTCGCAGTGAGGTCCTTATAATTTACCCAGAATTAACCATTACCATTTGGTTATTTAACATAGCCATGGAAACTCCCTTATAAATGGAGGTTTTAAATGGTTTTAATGGGAAAATCAACTATTTCTATGGGCCATTTTCCATGGCTATGTTAAATAACAAGAGGGTAATCATCATGAATCACCATTAAGCATTTTGACATCAAAGGATCACCGCCCAGGTACGAGGCATCGGACCCAAAAGCTCCTTCCTCTCCTGTCGTGCATCTGCTGAATGGTACCTGCGATGGTCGCAATGGATAAGTGGACATGGGCTGAAAATGCTGGCATTTACCACCCGAAAAAAAAAAAAACACATATAGGATATCATTGGGAAAATATGTGCTTTTAAACTAGCGGATTTAGGGGCAAAGCCTGGTTTTAACCTCTCACATGAAAGCCATGACATGCCGCCTTACTTTGAAGTCGGTCTCCTCGGACAAACCTCAGGTTTCTGACGCAGCGAGCCTACCATGTTTGATCATGTTTGCTGGAGAATCTTCATGAGATCACCTCAAAACAACCAATCTCACACCACATTGCCATTGTATACTGTTGCATACTGTTGTGAAGCCACCAAAGAGCAGCATTCGTAGCATAGCAGTTCCAGAATGACCCAAACATATCAAACATTCAATAGATTAGCGCTACTGTCAGATTCATCTACCAAAAAAAAAAACTACATTACGTATCATTACATGCAATGGTGCCATTCATCCTAAACCAAACTTAAGGATACCATCGATGATTCCGCATGATGGCTTCCCCATAGCTGATCTAAGATATCCATCATGCTGGGCCATCAACCTTCACCAACTACCCAGGCAACGGTTCGAGAGCTCGTAGTAGACAGGATCGCCCACAATGGGTGCACGCAGACCAAAGGCGCAGTGCGCACGGGTCCTCAATGGCTGGGCAGCTGCTCCAAATAGATTGAAAAATCAATGGAGATCAGCCAAATCGAAATAGTTTACACATCAATATAGCTTACGCAATATAGTATTTCCTTACCCCTGATATTAAACACCCCTAAATGGTCCCAATTATGTCCCCTACTAAACCATGGCTTCTGGGTGTCTAAATGGTCCCAATTGAGTGGAAATCCCCTACTAAACCATGGCTTTTGGGAGGCGTTTATATAATACTGAGCATCCCTCTGCCGGGGGCAGTGAAGCTTCATCTAGCCACGTGGAAGATGGGACTGTCAAAGGATCAAAAGATGTACCATGATGTAGAATGACACCCTATCCAGAGGCGCTATGATTTTTATCTATCCCCATCATATTTCCATATATGGGTATGGGCCAAAACCCTAGCACCTAGTGAACATCAAAATAGCTAAAAATGGTATTAATAGGTATTGGTCTATACCCATATTTCCCCCATTCCGGACTCCATTCCTTTCACATCAAACGCCCTGCGAATATGAACTGGTTCTGGGTGCAAAGCCCTTGGTCAAATCGACCAAGATTCTGATCATGGCGTCCACCTCGATGCTGAGATGGGCTCGAGATGGGCTCTATCTTTCAGCAAGCAACCAATGTTTATCCAAAGAAACATCCAAGAGCCACTGAAAACCAGGACTCCCTCACTGTAGAAACCCTGGTGAAGTACCCAGATTTGGGTATTGGTATAATACTTAATACTGTTTGATATTAAGGGGATGGGACATGATGGGACACCATGGTTTTGGAGATCTTTTGGGTACTGAAAAACTGCAACACCTGGAGAATTCAGCTAACAACCAGCCTCCGGGGACGTACGGAGCGAGGTTGTCCGGTGCATGTTGTAAAGAAGGAGTTCGATGCCCTGCACTTACCAACTGAGGGCTTCCACTTTCACTTAGAGGTTCAAACCATTTGAATCCGAAAGTCTTGACTCAAAAAATCACTCCATCTATATGCAACTATCTTCAACCACCAAAAAGCCCAGGCGCTGTATGGGTTCATGGACAAGAGCGTTAGGCCACCACATAGCGCCGAAAAACGCACGCTGCTGTACTCGGTAAAGGCTGGGAGGCCACCATCGTCTTCCCGCAACGGTTTCGCCACGTTCCTCGTGCCATGTCGCTCCTGAGAGAGCCTTGGCCGCCAAAACTGGGTCAACGGTGACCATGTTTTTAGACACTTGGGCCACATGGACATGGGGATATATCTCCCTCCATCCATGCGAGGAAATGTGCTCGAAAAAAAAAAAATCCTGTAAACATATGAATACGTGTCTACAAAAACAAATATTTATACATATATATATATATATATTATAGATATGGATATATCTATATATATAGATATAGATATAGATATAGATATATCTATATAGATAGATATTTAGATATTTATATATATATATATAAAAATAAAGAAATATATATATATATAAAGATATAACGATATAAAGATATATAGATATATAGATATACAGATATAATCAAATATATAGATATAAATATAATTAAATAAATATATATATAGATATAATATATATATAGATATAATATATATATATATAGATATAATAGTTTGTTACTGAATAATCAATTGTACACTGTATACAGTTTTGAAAACAAAAGTTAAACACGTGTGTAGATACGCGTGGTGCTTTTTTAATCCCCAAGACATGGTCCTGTGCGCACGACGCGGCCAAAACCTTTGCCCTTTGGTGCCGCGCTACGGCATGGACACTGAACCAGACTTCGGAGTGCGCCCGCAGACCAAAGCCCAGAAGTCCCGTTGCCAGAAGGCGCGCTGGGTAATCATGTCCTGTCGGCCACAGCTTTTCGGTCAACGGATTCCATGGGTTTCCAATGGTTTCCAGGAAGAAAAACAGCAACAGATCGGCGAGGAACAAATGGTCGTATATGGTCGTAACATTGGGGATGTTGGGTTGATATGAACATAGCAGCAGCCATCTGTCAACTGGAAATATACACTACATTACTGTATATATAAATATATACCCTAGACTGTACGTATAATGCTCATGAACTGCCACCGAACCCCTCCTAAAGCATGGCTGAATGGCTATGGAAAATTAATTTTCTAACCCAAAAAACTGGGGTTGAACAAGGGAACACTTCAGGAAACCCAAAATCTTTCGATACCAAACACCACCAATTTCTACAAGTTGTCATAAATTGCTGAATATATGTAGCCAGATATAGCCAGTGAATGTAGGATTTTCAGGTACCATGGCATAATGGGAAACTCATCCCTCCCGCCTTGGCATAAGCTGCTGCAGCTTTGTGCCTTGCCAGGAGCAGCACGCCCGTTATCTCAGTACTCAGGCGGTGCACAAACTTTGGGGGCTCCTAGCGCAGCGGTGGCAATGGAGCCCCACAAAAACTTGGAAGTAGACACCAGCTATTTGCCAGTTCGGATGATCTTCTCAAATATGAAACTCCGCACTCCTCCATGCCGAACTGAAGGCTCGGCAAGAGTCTTTGCAGATGCTGGTCGCCCACATGCTTCCTGGGTCCCATGATGCCATTGGGGAAATGAGGAAATGGAAGCTGGGTGTTCCTTTCTATTCATTAATCTGGTTGGTGGTGTCAACATGTGTCAACCCTTCTGAAAAATATGAGTTCGTCAGTTGGGAATATTCTTCTCAACATATGGAAAAAACATTGGCCATGGCAGATGCAATGATTCTTCAAACATCAAGTCGAGGAACCCAGGATTCACCGTCCAACCCATGGGCTTGTCGATGGCAAGAAAGTCGGTATCTTTGTACACCACTCCTTGGGGCAACCGCATAGGCTGGCTATGGCTGGTTGCTAGATGATGCATCTCCCAGCAATTCAGAGTCATCACTTGGAGTTTTGATGAGTTTTGATGCTGCAGAAAATCATGAAACATCAGTGTGAATGAAACTCCTGAAGTGGGGGAACGGGGTGAAACTCCGTGATACAAAATAACGTAATCTAATGTAGCGCTTCTGTTCCAATTAGCCTGGCACGTCTTCAATGAACAAGACACAAACTGCCATCAAGTCGGCCAAACATTGAACGCCCTTGGTAAAGTTAAAGCAGCAACATTGTCAAAAGGATGCCCACGAAATCTAACCTCTGGAATCATCTCAAATAACTTGCCGGTCAGGAATGGTATGCAATCGTGTGAGATACTGGGCAATGATGGAGAATGGTTTCTAATGGTTTCTATTTTTAATATCATCAGAAACCATTAGAAATAGAAACCATTAGAAACCATTAGAAATACATTAATCATCTATAATTGTTTATGGTTCCCAACTATTCATCCAAGTCCTGCAGATCCGAATCCATGCCAAAGCTCGCCGCAGCAGCCAATCAGGTGCAGTTGCTGACGAGGACGACTTCAGGCTGGGCAAACGGCGCTTGGGCACTGGGCTCATGGTCTTGGGGAAATAGATGAAGTCCTGGATGGTACATCACCGAAGGCGATTTGGCTTCTAAAACGTGGCGTTTTTTTACTCAGGGGTTGGTCAGTTTATATCATATTTATGGTATGAAGGATCAATTCTTCCGGGCAGAATTTGGACCAAACTTGAAGGCCCATGGGGGGAACCTTCCTGTTACTCACAAAAATCTTTCATGAGGAGGTGCTGGGCATGTTAGGGTTCAATAGGCTGCTTGAGCATGCCTACATTTCATAACATACGACGGTGGTGTTGGGCTGGACCCCACATGAACCATGTCCTGACATTGCCCGTGCATGCCTTTCCCCGAGAAGGGCGAATGGGAATCACAAACTTAGCCATATGGATATCATAGCGATGTTTTTACCGTACTGCAATCATTATACGCATATGCCGCAGCACTGTACGATGATGTATGACCGTATGCTCCAAATTCACCCCCGTTTTGGGATGGCGATTGGCAAATATTGGCAGCCCATTCTTGGGCCATAGCCATGACATCAATGAAACTGAGGAAAAAAAATGAATCACAATCTGATTGCTGCTTTCAAGCTCCCCCGAGCTTAACAAGATTCAACAAGTGTCACTAGGGATCCTCATCCAAAGTATGGTTCTTAAACACATCTCTTTCCAAGCGGATCCAAGCGGCAACCTGCAAGGGCATCCATAAAATGACCATATAAGTCAAATAAGTAAAACCATGAAAAAATATGAAAAAATGATGACCTACGAAATGTTCTTGGAATTTGGTGTACCCCTGGGTGCCCTAACAGCCTCATCTTCATCGATTTTCACATCCACCTGTCCATGTCAAGGCCTGTGACTTCACCTGGGTTTTCCCCTGGCATTCAGGGCGAAAGCGCGGGATCTGCACGCTGCTGCGATGCTGCTCCGCTGTAGCGTTGGAACTCATGACCTCATGGTGTTTGATGCTGGGATTTGAAAATCAACATCCAAATTTCTGTGCTAATTTCAAGTGCCAAGGTTTGAGTCCAAGTCTCTGGAACCTTCAGGGCAATTCAATGTAAAGTTTGGTGTTTCATTCACTGTTCCAGTTCAGCTAGAATGTACCTCCCCGAACCAGCCCGGAACCCACACGGAAGCCGCACCGAACCCGCTTATTTGGGCTGAGTTAACGCTGCTCAGGGAAAACGAGAAACAAGAACTAAGAGTTGACAGCTGCCTCTAAACAATAATGTCCCTAAATGCCCCTTTCTTACAAATTGACCTTAAGTTGCCATAGTTTTACGGATCTGTTGCTCAGCTCCGTGGGACAAGGACTGATCTGAGCTCAAGCGGCCCAAACCTGTTTCGAGGCAATCAGTTTCTGTCGCGCATCCCAGTTGGAACCTTGGGGAGTTGTCGGCAGAAAAGATGAAGACTTCGAACCGCGATCAAACCCACCCACTGGACGTGCCCATAGGATCCATGTATGCCATATATGGTAACATTTACCATTAATATACCCCAAATGTTAGCATATATACCATACATGGATCCTATGGGGTGAGGAATCAGTTTCTTACAGGTTCTTTCCATAACATTCCAATTTCTACGAAGCTTCTCGTGCAAAAAGGATTTTAAGGGCCTGCGTTAATCATAAATGTTCTGTTGCTACTGCTGATTCATCTTGATTGATAGAGGAGCACCCCGGGTCAATGGCATGCACCCCCCTGCAAGAATTGCTTGCGATTTTGGGACATGGCGGGTTATATACAAGGCACCCAGTGTCGCATCGTTATCTATGTTCCTGACGAATGATACAGGGACATGACATGCTTGCAATTGATGGGGGATGATCCCTGAATGTTACAATGCTTCTGTAAAAGGCCGGATGTCACCGGATGATAAGCCCTTCCAATCCAGCCCGTGCTTAACCGCTTAACCCCAAAGCTAGGATTCAAAATCTGATTTTCTGTTCATCTTTATGGTATTCACATGTATTCACCAACAGATTTTATAGATTTCCCTCAGGTCCATGGATCCAGTTGCCTCCTGCATCGGAGATCCTTCAGCCGAGCTTCAAACATTCTTCAAGAGCCAGCGGTCCAGGCGCATAGGCTCCGCACCCTGCAACTAACCACAGATCAATAAACCCCCCACTTGGTTTCAAAGGGGGAAACCGTGCGAATTGGCAATTTATCATGTCTCCCTTTTTGGCCGGTGACTACCTAACAATCATCCAGACTTTATTTATTGCTTCCGGGTTGGCCATGTCCCTCCACAAGCACAGGCTCGTAGAGTAAAAGGCTTTCGAAACCGGCTGCTATCAGCCGCTTAGAACTGCTGTGAGGAATGCAAATTACCCTCTGGTAAACTAACATAGCTATTGAAAAGGGTGATTTATAGTGGATTTTCCCATTAAAAATGGTGATTTTCAATAGCTATGTTAGTTTACCAGAGGGTAATTCATTTGAGGTGCTGTGATGAAAGCTCAGCCTGATCCGAAAACACCATTCATCTATCCAAGTTGTTTTTCCACCACAGCTTCATTAAGCCGCACGAATTGTGGTGGTATTGCAGTATCAGTTAGGATTCCCCTGCCAAGACTATGTAAAGAAAAACGTCCACAACTAGAAAAAAACAAAAAGTAGCAAAATCAATCAGAACAGAACAAAAGAAAAAGCGAAACAGTATTTTTTGAATCCTTAGAAGTAGGCTTAAGGCACATCACAAGAATACACTACACAATTTCAACCCCAGATTTTATTCACCCGTGGGCTCTGAAATTTGGGGTGGTACCATTTTGTAGCATGTTCTCGCATATGATCACTATCTCAGGGGGGGTCAAACCTAATTTCATAAACCATTTCGGGGAGGTTTAGCTTTGACCTTTCTTTGACCCATCCCACAGCACAAAAAATGTCGCTTTCTCGCCCCTCTGGCACCTCTGGCACGCGGTGACATGCGAAAGGACCCAGGTCAAATGCCCTGCGACCTGACTGGCTTCTAGGAGTTGGGACCCTTTTCAGATGAGGAATGAACACACTTGATTCGTTCGGAAAAAAAATCCGGTGAACTAAGGTAGCTATGGAAATCATATGAAATCATCATGTTTAAGTCAGTAAATGATTTTTAAAAAAAAGTGGCTATTGTCCATAGCTGTGATATCTATGATGGCGTGACGGTTGGAGACAAAAACAAAGCTGATCTGATGCAATCCCTGGATTCCCCCTGCCGGGGACCGGGGATTATTAAATTTACTAATTGGAATTATCCAAGAGGAAACCCCGGAATTTCATGCACCATAGTTACCATCGTTCCCACCAAAATGCTACAGAATTTGAGTCTAAAACCGCAGTTTCATACACCCATGCTACATTTTGTTGGCTAATTCCCATGATATCCCCAATGTATCCCCATAACATGCCTGGTTTATGTTACCGTTGGTTTCATACCACCTTTCTTGGGGTAAAATCCGCTCGCTCTATTTAAGGAGGAATGATGTTACTAGAATATCAGCATAGAATGATGAATACCTTCACCTACAGTAATATTTAACACGCTCCGGAAACCATGGTTCAATCCAGGAAGGGATGAAATCACTAGACAATGATGGTTTTTTTCCATAAATGCACATTACCGAGGTGATTTTCCCATAATTTTATCTAATTGGTGGTATACCAAACCACCAACCAGTGATTAATGATTAACCATCATTAACCATCATTAACCATCATTTTCCCATAGTTTTCCCAACTTGTTTTTAAATCATCGTCCCAGTCAGACATGGCCTGCTTCCAGCGTGGGATTTTCCAAGGCCAAGTGCGTCACGCCGCGCTGCCCCCCTTTGGGCACGTACTCCGGGCACAGCTGGCGGAGGGCACGCCACGCCATGGTGTCATGATAAGATGTGGAAGTGGTTGACTAAGTTGACATGGTGCTTGATATCTTGATGTGGTTTTTGAATGTTTTTGATATATTTGTCTTTTTTTGAATCGTTTTTGAAGTGTTTGAAGTGATTCTTGGTTTTGTGAATGGGTTTTTAACCACATGGTTTCACGGTTTCACGTGTTTTTACACTGTTTGACATCAGGAAGGTGAGATATTGATTCTAATTGATTCTTTGGGTGGGTTGGACACAAAGAGTAGGGATTTTTTTGCATGAGAAGTGGCCATGTCCTTTCATGCATTCGCCGCGCTGAGAGATGTGGACATTACCCACAATGAGGCCATGGAGCCGTGGGAACGCCATGGAATGACCAAGGCCTGGTACGCCAGGTACGCCACAATCTCGAACTGGGAGATAACCCTATTGTTGCCTTGAGACATTGCTATATATGCTACTGGTATATATATAATATATATATATATTATATATATACTGACTCTACTATCTGGTGGATTTTGCGGTTTTGGGGAGTGTCATAGACCGTCCAGTTGTTTGATCTGACCCCAGCCCAACCCCTAGCTCGCAAGACAACTATAAGCTAATTCTATGTCGTTTGAAACGTTTGTTGGGGTTAGTGAACCTTCCGCCGCCACCACAAAAAAGAAAACAAAGTCCCCACCCCCCCCAAAAAAAAAGGATCACTAGGCTTACCAAATGTTTTACCACTGCCATGGTCAAGACATTGCATATTGGCCATGATCATCCATCCCACAATGGGATTCATTATGTTGGCCACTGTAAATCTCTACTGACCGTGGTATGAACATCCTGCAATATGGCGCTATACCATGCTATAACATGATATAACATGATATAACCCAACCTTTGACCATGGCATCGCATATGATCAATTATTCTCCAATGTTCTCCCTCTTTTTCGGTTGGGCGCCAGGTAGCTGACCCTCTTCCGATGCTCCGCTGCTTGGCGATGAGCACCATCCACTGCTCGCTTCTGCTGATCTGCGAATGCCAAGGGCGGCAAGGCGCTTTGGTCAACAGCCAGATCGTCCAAAAGGCGGTTGGCAGACAAGCGCCCGAGAGCTTGGGTCAGGACCTGCGGAACACCGCCCTGGGGACGGTGTCACGGTGGACGGTGACGCTGGACACTGGGCTGGAAGATGTTGGAAGGGTTTCCAGGAACATACCCTCTGGTAATTTAACATAGCTATTGAAAATTGCCATTTATTGTGGATTTTCCCATTAAACATGGTGATTTTCCATAGTTATGTTAGTTTACCAGAGGGTAACTATGCATCCAGGACTATGACTGAGGCAGTCGTCTTCAAACTCTAACCACCCACCAGTCTGCCTGATAATTTCAGCTGTTACCATCCCATCCCGTGAAATATACAATCCATTGGAATGAGCCCATTGGAACAAAGGGAGCCGCGCCACATGTAGGACCCTGAACAGGACCCATGCAACTAAAGGGCACAACAGCCTGAGGATGGTTGGGTATGGGTCAAAAATGGGTCATTTTTGCTCCCCAAAATACTTGGCCAGCCACTTCTAAATCCATTGGTACCCCAGTTTTGATCATACCCAGCCAAGCTGGGCTGCTTCAATTTCAACCCCTGTGCCTTCACTGTAATCTGAGTTGGTTGGATGTGATCGGCCAACATCTCTTGCAGGATCAACTCGCACTTGGCAGCTCTTCCGGGACCACTCTGGGCCTACGGTGCCAGGTCGAATCCAACAGAAAAGGGTGCATGACAAATGGGACGATGAGAAGAGGATACCACCGCACCATCTACCACTCTTATTTTATAACTTTACCATTCATATTGTACCCCACACAATGGGCCGGCATCTGGATGTGAAGGGTGGATTGTTTGGCCCACAAGGTCCACCAGAATCGATAAAGAAACTTGACCCAGGTAAACCTAGAGAACTGGATCTGTTCCAAACAAAGGATCAATGTCATGGCAGACTTAGATGAACCCAATGGAAACCCAACTATGGATGGAATTTGTTTTAACCTACATTTCTTGAAGGGCATTTCACATGTTCCATCTATCGTCATATCAGACCAACGGCCTATTCACAGCAGATTGATTGGTGCGTTCAACCCTTGTAGTCCCCAAGTACTTGGCTTACCAAGCTCCACCAGCAAAGCTCGCGCCTCTCCACCCAGGCTCTGGAGCAGCTGGGTGTATTGGAGCACTGATGGTTTCAATCTGAAGTCCTTGATGGCCTGGAACCTCAGGGGTCCAGCATGGCCTACCATGGCCTACCATGGCCCACCATCCACCACTTTGCAGCCATGGGGGCCATTGCAACGCTCTCTCATGGTCATTGACTTTGGCAAAGGCTTTGATCCTGAGCAAAAACACTGCACGGGCTGTTCAAGCAAATGTTAACCAAGAAACATGTAAATCAAGCAAATGAAGATCCAGAGGAAATGAATAGGTTATGAGGTTGCAATGTGTCAGGGTTGATCCGCCTGATTTTGCCTGGCTTGTATACATTTCTAACAAGGAAGAAGATCAAGAAGTATGGCATGGCTGGAATACGTCCCAGGTAAGTGGACATGGATGCCACCGAGCGCCTCGCATGTCGAGTGTGCAGCAGGATAAACACTTAATCCCTTCCGTTCGATCTTTTCATTCTGGGGTTCCATAAAAGGCGGCATTAAGAAAATCCAATTTGGGAGGGAGACTGGAGATTGTCGCATGGACAAAACCTGGTACGATATGTGGGTCATGGTCATCCAACCATTATATATTGTGAATCCTTCAGTTGCTTAAGTTGGCCATTAATGTGCATACTTAATTCCCTACAACGGAGCAACGGCGGTAGGACCATCCCCCATAGACCATGGCACACACATCTATCTATCATCTGTCTGTCTGCCTGCCTGCCTGCTATTTACCTAGAGATAGAGATATAGATATAGATATAGACATAGATGCATATACATATACGTACACAGAGATATATAGATATATATACATATATATACAGAGATTTTTTTTAAAAAATAGATATATACAAATAAACAGTATGCACATAGATTAACAGATAGCCATATACGTTCATTGAAGTATATGTATATACAGTTATAATTACTGTATACACAAGCCACACCAAACGTCAATGAAGCAACGTATAACGTATATTTTACATCAGCTGATGATTTCTGTCTCAGCTGGCCGCCAGGCTTCAGCAGGCCAAAGGTGCTGAGATCTGGATTCACCTGGCCAGCGTCTCAATGAGTGACAGGCTCCAGGATCATATTTCAAGTCAGCTGCCTGAGGAAAATTATTCACCCCGGGCATGGATAAAAAATCCGGATTCTAAGGATCATCCGTATCATCACTTGAGTCTAGAAATTCTCAGCCGATAATTTTCCATAGCCGCCATAGCCGCCATAGCCATGATGAGATTTGGTGAGGAAGGCCATGGCGCCTCTCGTACCAGCTGCTTGAAAGTCTCTTGAGCACCTACCGGAATCACAGCTGGAGCCATTTGCACATGGTCACATGGGCCATGGGGTAGTAGTGATAAACCATGCCCAATTGCAGCTATTCATGGCTTTGCCGCATCCACATTGCGACAAGACTCTCAGTTGTGGGTTTGCCCAAGAATGTGAGATTGAGTTTCTGCTAGTTCCTAGCCAAATGTCCAACATGTCCCAGCCAATCCCAGCCAGGTTGGCACATGTGCCACACCTGAGAGGTCTCCACGTGCCACTTCTGCTTTTATCTTGGCATTGAAGCTATAAACGTCGCGTTCCAAGGATTCCAAGGTCCTGGCGGCGCTGGCGCCCCAACTTCCAGCAACGTTTCGGTGGGTGAAACTCATCACCGCTACAATATGGGGTATGGGTCAAAAATTCTTGACATTCTCCCAAACATGATGGTTTAATGTTTAATACTACACACAGACCCCAAAGTTTGCCGAAGCCCCAAATATGCCAGTTGCACTACATTATCAAACATGTTTTAGACACGGAACAATACAATGACGCTATTAGGGTTTAGGTAAGGATTGGGGTTCGGGCTTTCGGGTGTGGTTTAGGGTTGACCATGGTGGTCGTCGTCGTCGTCGTCGTCGTCGTCATCATCATCATCATCATGAGCATCGTCCAACTCATGGAGAGTCCGGGCAAACCTCAGGGTCCCACGCCAACAAGGTGCCTCGTGGAGAGCCACTCCTCGCGAATGGCTCATTGTAACCATGTAAGTTTGCTTGTGAATACGCAAATACATACCAAAATATACAATATTATATTGCTGTTTGGATATATATATATATATATTTGTATATACAGAGTATCTGAGGAAACAAACATAAACTTCAGTTTGGATATGTATCTGTGTGATTCTCTGTGTGTGTGAGCGACAAAAGTTATTTGAGGTTACTGCAGAAGGCGGGGCCAACCCTATCTGATCTCTTTTTCCATTCCCTGACCTCGTTTTCCAAAGCCACACTTGGTTGTCTTTTCTACGTCTTTATTTGTGCCTTTAGGTGGGTCGGGTGGACACACCTCGTTTCGCATCCAATCCTGTTTTTTTTGATGGGAAGTCTTACATCTTTTTCCTACCGCGCATGCGCACTCATACAAGTTCAAATGTGCACACACAACGAGTAACATCCCGCTTGATACCCACACAACAACAAGCACATTCCAGCAAAGAAACTCATGAGGGCCAATAGACCTCCTCTTGCCACCCAGCAACGGTTGAATGCTAAGTCAGCATTAACAGAGCCCCAGTTCACCAATATGGTGGGTACGGTACCAATCTTATAATATAAATTCACCACCACTATTTCGGGTGTCACCCTTGCAACTTTTAATAGTCAGGGTTTATTAATCCAGGGTTGACATTATGCCAAAGTCAAAAAACCTCTGGTCTGACTGTCCAATGCCCTTATCTAGGCTGAATATTTCACAAATCCTTCCCAGTATGAATCACTGAAAGAAAATAATTAGTTGTACATTGTCCCACATCAGCTTATCAATCTTGCTTGTAGGCATCAAAAGGATGTTGGGTGTTTGCATGGTGGTATTCAGGCTCAACAGCTAGCAGCTACCTCAACAAGGCTCCAAGGTAGGAACGCAAGCATCCTGATTTGCCAGAAGCAATCCAAAAAGTGGTGCACCGAGTTTTTTTCCACCAAAATGTATGCGAAGACCATGTTCATCCATTTTCCTCATACTTTCGATCAAATCACACAGGGGCACACACACACATACATGTACACACATATATATATACACACTATATATATACAGTGTATATGTATTAAACATTATTAAACTAATATCCAATCATGGCTAATCATGGCTAAAATTTGAATGCCCCATCCAATTTCCATCCTATGTCCACCCATTCGCCCCAGTCTTTGGCGACGCCCGCATCCGCCAAGATGTTGGTCGTCTGCAGATCGATGTCCAGGTCTTTGTTGGACATCCTGGGGCAGGCATAACTTCGGCCTTGCTTTCACTTTGCGGACTTATATAAAAGATATTAATAGATTATATGATATATATACCTGGGGCCTCAAACGTAAAGAAAATTCTGTACTGTTGGAACTGTGAACGCAAATGCATGTCAAAAGTGCGCAAACCTTCTAAACCGTTCAAAACGGCCCATTTGGATCAAACGTTCGAAAATTGTTTGTCACAGATATTTTGGAACATGTTGGACCAGTACTTGCAATAATTCTCATGGGTAGATGAAACAACTGCATTCTCCGAGCCCCACTGGCACTTCCAATCATTGGCACTCAGAATATGTTAGAATTGATACATTAACTATATAGCATCGCTAAGATTTCAACTGATGGATGGTGCCACATTATCTAGATCTATCATCCCTGGTGCCTTCACCTGATCTCCCTCGCCGGTGAGCTATGCCACAGATCAGGCGCGCCCCTGCCCATCATTTTTTCTTTCAGTGCTGCGCAGTGTTTCATATCGTCTTTGCATTTGGCCTTAGAGATGCATGATGGACTCGACCGGTCAACTGTGGCAATGACAGGCTCAGCATAAACTGAATGGCGTACAATGTTTGCAACATGATCCAAAAGAATTTAAATGGCATACGGTGGATGTATACATGCACGTGTGTACTTGTTGTTGGGTTGTTGGGCATTCCTCCCAAAACCTTGTGAGCTGGGATGGCTCATTCAAACCTGGCGAAGCAATGGGAACGTGTCCCATCGATACGTGATAAAGCGAGGAGGTTGGAATTGGCTACTTGTTGAACATTAGTAGCAAATTCCTCAGGAATTCGCATATATATATATAGATGATACATATATATATAATATATGTATGAATATAGAATATAACTATTATATATATATAAAGTAGGTATAGGATTTTGAAATTACTTGTCAAACACCTTCCATCTAAGGTTGCAGTTCCTGGTGGCGTTCCAGACCGGGACGGTGTGAAAGCCAATAAGGAGGTGGTCAAAGCTGCAGCCCAACTTTTGGGACTGCGGGTTGGGGTCAACCTGTGCACGCTACATGTCACCGCTTTGTATGAGTTGATGTGCATCCCTGTCCCAAGTTACTTTGGCTTTGTATAGATGACCATTTCGATTTTTTTAGGACATGTGACAAATTTTGACGCTAAATTTCTATGAGTGATTGATCCAATGAACCAGCTTCAAGGTTTGCAAAGTTTGTCTAGCGCACATATCTCAATTCCCACAGTTCAGAACTTGATTTTTGACATGGATTTGCGTTCACAGTTCCAACAGTACAGAATTTTCTTTACGTTTGAGGCCCCAGGTATATATATACATACATACATACCAATACTTGAAGGCCCAGGCAAGAATATTATATTGCACAGCACTGCCCAAGGTTTGGTCTGTGAGACGCAGGGCTGGCAGTTGAAGCGGTTGCTGAGCTTTACAAAAAACCGTATAGCCAATAGGCCGCACAGGCCAAGAGATCCAGATCTCAGAGAGATAATGGATGCAATCGGTGTGGTCTGGCCAGAGCCTCAAGAGCCAGAACCAGAAGATGAGGAAGAGGAAGGGGAGGAGGAAATATGTGATGATGATGAGGAAGTAGAAGATGGGGGACATGTTGTTCCAAGAGAAGATGAGGGACATGTTGTTCCAAGGGATGATGTTGCACCACTTGGGGTTGAAGCGGTCACATCGCCACCTCTGACTACCGAACCAAAACCGATTCAGCATGCTGGAAGCACGGAATCTTTCCCCAAGGGAGATGGACCTAGAGGTGGGACTTTAACAGCTATATAGTTTTGTGTTTAATCTGTGCCATATGAGTGTATTATATCAAATGTACTACAGTAATTGCACTTTGGGCCCCCCAAACATCCCCGGTGAAACTGCCAACATGTAGGTGATGCTGCCAGCATTGCTTCATCAAGCACTTCTGCAAGTGCCCTTCGCAGTGAGTTTGCAGCTTTGGGTTTGACCACTCCGCCCCCAAAGCCAGCCCATCCTCCATCAGTGACACCGGAACCAGTTGACGATTCTTGGCTAAATCCATTATTTTTCAATCAATGGCATATGATTTTTTCTGGGTGATTAAGAACAAACTTAGTACATATCAATCATTCATACATTACATTACTTCACATTGCATTACATTACATTACATTGCATTGCATTACATTACATTACATTACATACATCCATACATCCATACACCCATACATCCATACATCCACACATGCATGTATGTATCCATCCACCCATCCAATCCAGTCCAATCCAATCCAGTCCATGCCATGCTGACCGTACCATACCATACCATAGACATATATATATATATATATACATGTTTACATGCATACATGCACATATATATATATATAATTTATTTATACATCATGTACTATACGCAATTGCCATATGTCCCTGTCTCAGGATCCAAGGGCCCAGCTCCGCAAGTTGTTGGAGTTGGAGCAGCAACTCAAGAACCTGCACATGCTGGAAACATTGGCAGCGTCACTCACAAAACCTAAATCTGATGTTCCCGATGGTACCTGAGCTTAAGTTTTTTTTCGGGGTGGATCTGTAGTGAACATCATAAATCAACGTATATGTATGCAATCATGAACATGTGATTTGGTCTAAGGTAAGACGATGGACAACATGGATACCTTACCCATGGACACAGAAGCTTTGGATTCTTTCCTGCACCAGGAGCCTTGTTAAAGTATATATAAACAACCTGTGTCTCCCCACCATGTGGGATTTGCTCTAGTGCCATTAGCTGCCAGGACATCCGTGGGCAGAGCAAGGTCCACCAGTTCAAAACTACATCTGCAAGCGCTGAGGACCCTGCGCATACAGCGCAATACATCTTAAGTCATTTGATTATATGATCGCGAGTTTTGGCCAGCTTGAAGCTGGGGATTTGCCACGCACTAGACATGGATTCTTTTCTGAGTAGAATATGTTTGAATATATAATATGTTTATGGGTTGAAAAATAAATCCTGGGTCTTCCTATGCATTTAGGTACTTCATGTTTAAACAAGTTCAGGAAGACCTTCGCACTTCCAGACTCCAGACCCAGCTGGTTTGAAACCTTGCCTTGGCATGCAGGATGCGAACCGTGTTCCTGAAGAAGTTTCGATGGCTCACATTGTGGAGGTTGGGTCTGTGCCCTTTTTTTGGGCTGGTCTACAAGTTGACACAACTCTTCGTGCAGGATAAGCCTGCGGTTCCTCCACGTGAATACCACGATCCAATGAGCGATGCCAAGGTCAGGCAAAACATGTTTCTGTGAGGATTTTCAAACCAGAATCAAATCTATAAACATATCAGATTAAAGCTTTGCATGCGGGAGGTAGCTCATGCCCATGAACCTGCACCAGAGTGCCCCAGCAGCATGTGTGAGGCCAGGTTCAACCTTTGATTCCCCCTCTATCAAGAAGAACGTACTTTTGGGTCGTGGGTTGTAGGGACTATTGAAACCCTTCTGAATCCATCACCCAGCCCTGAGTGGCCCTGAGCGGCCCTGCGCTTTCCCATCCTAACATGGCAGGCTGGTCCTGCAGCAGAGACTTTGCCACCACAGACACGACCGGAAGTGGAGGATATTGGTGCTGCCAAGTTGTCAGGACAAACACCCTATCATAAATTTATAATGTTGTTCATCTTAACATAAATAAATATAAATATATATATGTGCATGTAAAAGAAAGTAAATAGACAATGGTAACTGCTGACCATTTATAGCTTTGACCACTGACCCTACATGCAGCTACGGCTCTCACGCTGTCATGGCTGGCTAGGAACCTATCTTTTCTCATGGTGCTCTCACTTCGCCTACTGCCTGTGTCATTCAGGAGAACCTGCAATTGTTTATGTGAATACCCATGCGAAGATTATGTAGAAGAATCTGGCCACCTGTTTTTTAATGTTCAGGTTTACCATGGTAAGACACTTCCTCGAAAACAAGATGGCCGGCTTTCGTAATATATGCTTGACACTTTTCAGGAGACCAGCGTCACTGAATGCCCAAAGGAAGGCCATGTGGAGAAGGACTACAGTACATAGATTTTCCCATGTGCTTCCAGCTGTTGGTGACCCTTCCCATACATGCAGCTCCTCCTCGATTTTGAGCAGGAGCCAGTTGCCGAACCAAAGCCTGAGCTCTCAGGGCCACCAGCCCCAGTGGCACCCTGTCAACAGGACAATTACGCAGCTAATGTTGGAAGCCACTCTTAGTTGAACCTGTTTCATCTTGTAAGTTGGTTGCCAAATTCTCTGTTTGCTATATTCCAAAACATATGTATATATTTGGCGGTGTTTGTTAATTAAAAAGCCGTACATTCTGGTTTGCTGGCATTTTGAACTGGTGGGAAAGTTGTCCCATATCGCCCTTCCTATCATTTCTTGGCCAGGATGGTGGATTTGTCCCATACAAAGAGCGGATTAAGGCCTACTTTGACCGTTGGCCGGGGGCTATGGAGAAGTTTGAGGCCTGCTAGCTCATTTATTTTTCAACATATATGGCATGCACATTTGGAATACTCACCATTATTTATAATATGCATGTGTGTGTGTGCATGCATCTTTTTTATCCTAGGAGACCGCTGGTGCTACCCCTGAGTGTCCTGTGGATCCGGATGTGGGCAATGGGAATGAAGAGGAGACTGTAAACTTGAAATGTTGTTTTGCGATATGCATCCTATCCTGAAAGCTTGATTTCCAAAAGGCACCCACCAGAGCCCTTGTTAACTTGTTAAATTATATGTCTGGACATCAAGCATCTGAAAGTAGGACACTCTAGATGTGTTTGTGTATGTGTTGAACGGTTCTTTTATGGCGCTATGTATACACATATCAATGGACATGTTTTGCCAGGAGTTGGAGCGCCAGCTCATGGATCAACTCGATCGCCCTGGATGCATTAAAGACAATTTTGTCAACCCTGATGTCCAATGCCCCCCGAAGCAACGAGGCAGGAAAAAGAAAGTACCCCCTGCATCTAGCACTTCGGAACACAAGGGTCGCCCATCAGCAGCAGCATGTGGGTTTTCAACCAAAGGCATGACTGACCAAGAGGTTCATGAAGAGCTTGCAAAGCAACGTAGGGCAACAGAGGCTGAGAACAATGAGCTCGCACCGACCAATCCCAAGCGCAAGCGCACCAGGAAGAACAAGGATTCTGACCATGAGAACAATGAGCACCCACCCGCAAAGGCAAAGCGCACCAGAAAGAGCAAGGCTTGTGGCCATGATGAGAACCAGGAGACCCCACCCACCAATCCCAAGCCCAAGCGCACCAGGAAGAACAAGGATGCCGACCATGAGAACAATGAGCACCCACCTGCAAAGGCAAAGCGCACCAGCAAGAGCAAGGCTTCTGGCCATGGTGAGAACAATGAGGCCCCACCGACCAATCCCAAGCGCAAGCGCACCAGGAAGAGCAAGGATTCTGACCATGAGAACAATGAGCACCCAACTGCAAAGGCAAAGCGCACCAGCAAGAGCAAGGCTTCTGGCCATCATGAGAACCAGGAGACCCCACCCACCAATCCCAAGCCCAAGCGCACCAGGAAGAGCAAGGATGCCGACCATGAGAACAATGAGCACCCAACTGCAAAGGCAAAGCGCACCAGCAAGAGCAAGGCTTCTGGCCATCATGAGAACCAGGAGACCCCACCCACCAAGCGCACCAGCAAGAGCACGGCTTCTGGCCATGATGAGAACCAGGAGACCCGACCCACCAAGCGCACCAGGAAGAGCATGGCTTCTGGCCATGATACCAACGACCAGGGTGAGGAGCCATCTTCAACCAGTACCGCAAGCCATGTCCTTGAAGCAGGGGAGCATGTCCCAGCAGGTCCAACTGACTCCCAGGCAGAGGAGCATCAGGAAAGCAACGGCCCAACAGGTTCGTTTGGTGATGTGGATGATGATAGGACGTCAATGGTAGCAGTGGCGTCAGAAGCAGATCAGGCACGAGCAGAAACAAAGGCACGATACAGTAGGAAAAGTGCTGCCTACCACCGGGCAGTCAAAGCTGCAAAGAACCGTGGATGCACAGATGCAGAAGCGAAAGCAGCTGGCAAGGCTGTTTCTTGATTTACATATGAGGAAATGATAAGAATACTAGGGGGCGCAGTCTCATGTTTTAAGGTGTAACCATATTTGTGGGTTATAAACCAAATGGTATGTTTTATATTATATAGTACTATATGATGCATATGTACATCAATGACCGCAACTGCATCCCCAAGCATAGTTCTCCTGTCATATAGGGTTCATGTGCCACATACCGTAGGCAGAACTTTTGGTTGCATCTTTTGCTGTCCCTTAGGCTTACCGTGATACCCAGTGAATGCTGAGCCGCGTGTTTCACACGCTTTTTGACTTTGGGGTGCTGAGCTGACACAAAGCCAGCAAATGTTCTATGGGGATCTTAGGATGTTTCAATCCGCGCACTGTCCTCTTTAACACGTGCGGGCTGGAAATCGCCCACTTGATCATGTGTTTGGACAACTACTGGAGAGAAAGAAATGAAGATCATGCTGTCACGCATTCCTGCAAGGTTTTCTGTTATGCAAACTGTGATTGACATTGCTTAAAGCTAATGGGATTCTTTGAAAATATGGTACTACCTGAATGATTTATAAGAGTGTTCGATTCCATTACATCTGCATGATTGCTGGTTTTTGGACAAACCCCAAGTCATTGACGGATACAACATTGTCGATCACCATTTGCTTATTTACCAGCCGGGCCCCCGACGCAGGTCCTGTCAAGCATGGGCTATCTTACTCGATTGGCCTCCAAGGGTTTGGCTGGCCAGTTTGATGTCATATCTCGACCGGTGGGTGGTTCCTAAATTGGGTGTCTTCCGGATTGGGCAACTGTGCATAAATGTATTTCGGTTCTATATCGGATTTAGAAACCACCAAAGTAGAACCAAACACGTAAACCTACGTATTCAAATAGAAAGCACAAGGACCTCCCAAAAAGGTCCAACCAATTTGCAAATTGGTTGGAGGGATGTTAAAACAAAAATCCCTTCAAAGAGGGAATGCCAACTTGAACCATAATGTAGCCCAACATAGGATGAAGTACTACATTCCCCAAAAATGAGTTTTACATTGTGGTGAGTAACCTCCAAAAAAACGTGATGAGTAATCTTATTTGTGTATGAGTTTAACCAACTGGGTATTACCAACATGCATGTAAAGCTTACCAGCTGAGAAATGTCAGCCTTGCCCATTGCAGCGTCTCGGTTTCAAAAAGGCAGTTGGATCAGCTATTCAGATCTTCGAAGTCTAGCCATGCCGCTACTACAAGATTCCCTTCTTGTGCCATTGCTACAGATGAATGCCCCAAAAGTCATGGACTCAACTCTTAATTGACTTTTTGTCATACTTGGCTAGGTTAAAAACAAGTATACCTTCTTGGCGCCGGCCCTGAGGTGTTTATTGCCGTAGTGCCAGCCTAAGAGTGCACCCTACAATCTATTGATATCTGTTGTGCCAACCCAGCAGCTTTTCAAAACAAACTTACTGACCATTTGTTAACTTCCACATGTTGTTTGTTTAAGGTGCTGCTACTGCAGTGGACCGAGCTCTCGCCAATGAATTGGGAGTTGATAGAACTATTTTCAGGAGTTGGAAATGTTAGCCGTGCTTTCCGTCAACATGGCAAGGCTGTGGCCAGCTATGACAAGGAACTTGGTGGGGATTGCATGAACATCGAGCTCACAGCAGGGTTCTTGCCTGCCCCTAAGTCTGTTTGCTTTTTGAACCGTTAGATCGAGAAAAACTTGAGGAATCCCAATAGGTTTTGCTTTTTGAACCATTAGATTCATTAGATCGAGAAGTTACTTGAGGAATAAACCAACCCATATGACTGTGCCATAAATCAATATGATGACCTTCTTCAACCCGTGCTGAGGCTGGCAATTTGGTTGGTACTGTCTGCAGGCCCAAGCAGAATTGTTGGAAGAACATGGGTTATCTGCACTTAAGATTGTCAACATTTGTCAACCAATCCATCCCCCACATGGATGCTTACTGAATTGAACATGAACACCCCCAATACATTCATGCACTATAATGGGAAGAGCTAAGAACTTGGGTCCTCTAGCCTGAAGAGGTTTTATGACTTTCAAAGTTGAAACCCGGCATTCTTGAATTTTAAAAGTATCTGTAAGATTGCCATGTCAGGCGCTGGCGCTATGGTGCTTGCTGCTCCACCGTGTTCCAGTTGGACACGCGTCTCCCGTGGAACTACGATGAGGACCCGGCTAAATCCCATGGGGCTTTGCTACAATTTCATTTCAGCTGGGAACCTTACTATAGCTCGGTTACTTGGCATATATATATATATAGTATGTCACGCAGACCCCATTAATACTGTTGATGGAAAAAATCCTGCACCAGTCCGTAAGATGGTTTATCCCGTAAAAAAAATCTCAATTTTGCAGGATTTCTTCCATCCACAATTCAGATAGTCCATCATTTCTGGGACAGCGGCCGGCCCAGGCTCACCTTAATTCTTTTGGTGGCAGAGGCAAGGATGTGCTGCTGGATTGTGGAGCAGCCTGTGGGTTCGGTCGACGCGTTGCCTTTTCACCCCAGATTGGATTGGCTGATCAACCATGTTGTGTATGTTTCTAGCTTGACTTGGGTTTTTTCTTATGCTTTCAAGGGCCACGGATACATGTTATTTCAAGATATATACCCATGCCGTTCTATCTTGAATTGGGGTCACAAAAATGAATCGTACTTCAGAACGTATGGTTCATGACCCAGGGACAATGTTTTTAAAAAGTGGAATCTATTTTGTAACCCTATAGAGGCTCATTCAAGGGGACCTAGTTATGGGGCATGGAAAACCTGAACTAAACCTCAAGATACCTCAAGTAATTGTTGTTTATTGCATCATTTTTGGGATTTCATGTCCACATGTCTTCCCAGGTTTTTCGAACTGACTTTTGGATGATGCATTTCGGAGCAGACTGTCCAAAGCGAACAACTGTATGGAGTTCTGATGGTGATATCATCGCGAAGTTGGTTCCAGCCTCATTTATCTTGAGTTGACCTAATCCGATTTGATGCATGTAGTTCAGTTAGCAAATATGATGCACTGCGTTGAAATGACACATTTCCATTGTAGAATGTTTTCACAAAGACCACGTCAACTAGTGGAAGCCAACCCAAAATACACTTTAAGGATCAACAATTTTTGGGACTCGAGGCGTCTTTTTTGAAACCCCTCAAAAAAGTATTTGAGAATGGTTTTAAATCTATTTCGATGGAATGATCACTATAGGGGTTTCTGAGGACCTTGGCAGCCTGACGAAGGAGACCAAGGAAAAAAAACGTTCACTGGAAACCACATGTTCCATCCTCAGGCATAAACTTACAATTACATGCATGGTATATGCTATTATTGCATTCCAGGGCTATTGTGTTGGGGCGGGTACCCGTTTTAGAAACCATATCGCGTAGTGGATCCATTTGCCACCCGCAGGCACTTATCAGAATGCCCAGGGCATCAAAAAATTCAAAGGAGCGCCCACATTGAAGAACAGTCAGCAGATCCCTCAGTTACGTTAACTTTGCAGAACCGAATCTATAATCTATGAACAATCATCGGGTCATAAATAAATGGTTACGTTTCCCACAATTTTGACACGAGCTCAATTCTGATCACGGTACCTCTCCACGCTCCCAGGATCTATCCCTTGGGCTTTGGACAGGGGCTTCGAGATGTAATGAGCTCTTGGCGTTGCCAGCCTCGTTTAAGGCAAAAAAAAACCATTGACACCAGCAAGAGCGACCGGGAGTTGTTTGAAGAGTTGCCCCTAGACGATGTCTGGGAAGATGCAAAGCTTGTTGATGTGTATACTTATTTGAGAGCTTCGAAGAAGACTCTGATTCCAAATACTTGGGTGCAGGTCTTTGAAAAACTAGACACCCAGCTTGCTAGCTACCGGGATGCTTCCCACTCTTGAACTCTTGGCTGTGTGCACATAGGGTATTTCATCAACAGATGAATGGGTTTCCCATGGATGAAATCCCAATTTGATGGAAACCATGACTTACAGGTCCCAAACCATCAAAAAACACAAAAAAAAACGTACGCAAAAATCCCGCAAAAGTACGCAAATATCCCGCAAAAGTACGCAAAAACCCGCAAAAGTAAACAAATCGGGATTTCTTACCCGTGGGCATTTTCAGAAGATTGCCTAACACAGGCTAATTAACAGCTTTTGGTGGTGTGACCGCCAAATGTTTGGTGCACATGCTATGGACCAAAGGGAAAACAGAAACAACATATTTAAATCGCATTGACATGATGCCAAGTAGCATTCACCAGTTTGATCTGAAAGGGCAAAGATGTTGTGATGGTCAATTCTCTTTTCCATTTCATTCATGTGACCTATGTGGCTCAAGGTTTGTCTTGGGGGAACTATCAGCATGCGACCTGCAACCACTTTTGACCGTGGAGTTTCACTAATTAGGCACCAAAACGAAGATATGAACACCAGTGATCCTAATGCCGTTGAGGCCGCCTTGGCCGTGCCAGCCTCTGATGGGATAGTTTGAAGAAACAGTCGATATTTTGAGCAGCCCATGATCCATATCTCTTCTGACTTACTATGCCTATGAGGCCACACGAGCGAAGATCCAAGCCCTTCAGGCTCAGCTTGGCGCTGAATCTGGTGTGGATCCAGGAACTGGTTGGTCAGGCCTGGGTTTCTGTCGACTGCTAGAAGCCAGGCTGGGGATGCAAAGTCCATTTGTTTCACATACGCTTTCTATGTATGCAGGGTTGTTAGAGTGAAATCATTCCGTATTGGGCAATCTGGGAACCCTATGAACCACATATCTGGGGTGTTATTCATTTATGGGTTTTTGATGCTTATGAAACCATGACGTGTGATTTACATTCTGAATGGGTTGGCCTTCTTTACATAGGGTACATTCAGGAACAACCACATTGGTAATTAGGGGTGCTGGATGACTGAATAACCCCAAACCAACAGTGGCAAAGCCAGCAAGTTGGGTATATGTTTTCTTTTTTTTAAGGGGCCTTGTACATAATAGTTGTTCATGATATGCCTACTATATACTTGCAATATTTACACATGCAGGTTTGCAGCTTAAAACAACCAATAACGGATTATGAATCAAATGGGCTAACTGCAAGAGCACATCATTTGCTGTAAAATTGCACCATCCACATATATTGATATAATAGAACACATGCATATAAAAATCCAAGTTAATACTTACTTATCCTGCAGCCCTGCTGGAGGACCCTTTCACCATGAGCCGCGAGCGGCCGGTGTCTTCGTTCCGGGGTTAGCGCAAGCTAGTTTGGGGGATCCGGATTTGCCAAAGTTGTTACGTCAACCAACTTTGACACTAGGCCAATCCTCTGACAGTTTGGGGTCTGATGAATGCACCCCGAAGAGATTGGCTTTCACACCGCCTGGGTCCCTAACTCCTATGATGGCCAGCCCTGTGCACCCAGTGCCTGATTCCCAGCTTGCACACCAATGTACTGGGTTCTCAGAAGCAACAACTACCCCTGCTACTCTTCTCTACTCACCGCCACACAATAGCCACCCACCAGCACCAACAGCCAGCACAGATGGACAGCCATCAGCTCCAGCCACGGCAACCACACCTGCCACCAATGCAGCTTTAGTACATGGACAGCCATTGGCAAACATGCAGCCAGCAATGACTCCTCCAGCCCACAGCACACCAGCCAGCACACATGGACAACCTCCACAGATGACACCCTCAGCTCCAGCCACGGCAACCACACCTGCCACCAATGCAGCTTTAGTACATGGACAGCCATTGGCAAACATGCAGCCAGCAATGACTCCTCAAGCTCCAGCCCACAGCACACCAGCCAGCACACATGGACAACCTCCGCACATGACACCTCCAGCTCCAGCCACAACGACCACACCTGCCACCAATGCAGCTTTAGTACATGGACAGCCAGTGGCAAACATGCAGCCAGCAATGACTCCTCAAGCTCCAGCCCACAGCACACCGGCCACCACACATGCACAACCTCCACACATGACACCTCCAGCTCCAGCCACAACAACCACACCTGCCACCAATGCAGCTTTAGTACATGGACAGCCATTGGCAAACATGCAGCCAGCAATGACTCCTCAAGCTCCAGCCCACAGCACACCAGCCAGCACACCAGCCAGCACACATGGACAACCTCCACACATGACACCTCTAGCTCCAGCCACAACGACCACACCTGCCACCAATGCAGCTTTAGTACATGGACAGCCAGTGGCAAACATGCAGCCAGCAATGACTCCTCAAGCTCCAGCCCACAGCACACCGGCCACCACACATGCACAACCTCCACAGATGACAGCTCCAGCTCCAGCCACGGCAACTGCCCCTGCCACCAATGCAGCAGCCAGCGGACATGGACATGCACCGGCAAACACGCACATGATGCCTCCAGCTCCGGCCACGCCAATGTCGCCTGCCGTGACGATCCTTGATGCAGAGACACCGCGACAACTCCCTGATAACCAACTTGGAGATTCCAGCCTTTACCCTGATACCCAGCAGATGCTGCAGCAAAGCCCAAAGACACCTGCCACCAATGCAGCAGGCAGCGGACATGTGCAGCCAGCAATGCCTCCTCAAGCTCCAGCCAACGGCACACCAGCCAGCACACATGGACAACCTCCACACATGACACCCTCAGCTCCAGCCACGGCAACCACACCTGCCACCAATGCAGCTTTAGTACATGGACAGCCATTGGCAAACATGCAGCCAGCAATGACTCCTCCAGCCCACAGCACACCAGCCAGCACACATGGACAACCTCCACACATGACACCCTCAGCTCCAGCCACGGCAATCACACCTGCCACCAATGCAGCTTTAGTACATGGACAGCCATTGGCAAACATGCAGCCAGCAATGACTCCTCCAGCCCACAGCACACCAGCCAGCACACCTGCCAGCACACCTGCCAGCACACCTGCCAGCACACCTGCCAGCACACATGGACAACCTCCACAGATGACACCTCCAGCTCCAGCCACAACAGCCAATGCAGCGCCCAGCATTGCACCAGCAGCCAGCACACATGGACAACCACCTGCTGGACCACAGGTTCCCCAAGAAATGCCCTTGGGAGGCTCGTGCGCCACCCTTTCTCACGCGGCTGGGGCCCCTGCTTCCTCGAGTTCTTCGGGCGGGGTTCCTGATGAAGGAAGCTCAGAAGTTTCCATCCGAATGGAAGGTACCATGTACACAGATGGCACCTATTGGAAGAAACCAGCCTGCATCAAGGCTGCTACATGTTCAATCATATAGAAAATCCATGAAAATCCCATAATTAATTGGGAGTTCTTAGGGTTTAGGATATGTCTTGTAGGTTCATGGTATTTGCATATATATATTATATATATATATATAATCATTTGTATTTTGGTTTCCAACCACCCTCCACCAAAGGGTATATATATATACCAGGTAGGCTTTTTAACCACCTATCCCTGAGGGTCGCCTTTGATGAGGTTGGTTAAATCACCTATATAGAATAAAGACATATGGTCCGATGGCCCTTCCAAGCTTTGATAATATTTGAATTTCAATTTTCGATTAAACCATATATGGTGGATCTATGATTCGTCTATGATATATGTTTTTGTTCCATCCACTGCTGGCCCCCCAATTATCGTTTTTTCTCCCATCTCGATCAATTTATTTGTCTGGGTATGCCAAACCTGCCCGCTGTGAGGATGAACCGATACATGGACCAGCACAAAAAGGCCAAAATCCAGGCATCCCCCGAGTTGGTGAAGCTTTGGGGGACTAGCACTGGGCGTCCTATGGCTGCATGCCAGTGTTTTGGGCATGTTTTTTTTTTGTGGCATACCTGCCTGTAATGAACAAATAGTACAAGATCTGCCGATTTAGGTGAAAAACTTCGTGAGCTTCTCTACAAGAATGAGATGAACATGGAAAGGGTGAATGCCGTTGTGGAGCGCATTCACACCCAGGAGACTCCTTTCTATAACAAAATAATATCATATCCACACACATCCATATACAGATTTACATCAATGCAGAGAAAGGAAATTGAGACCCCATACCACTTTAAACTGCATGTATATTGTGATTGTTTCTTTCCAGGAGAGCGCTGAGACAGTCGAAGGTGGTTGGTTAACCGAAAGTATGCTTCTCCTCCAACCTGGTTGGGATTCGCTTGGGGCTTACTCCATAATGCTTCTGTTTGTTTTCTTCCAAGTTTTGAATCCATGCAGATTACAAGATGTTTCCTTTTTAAGGACGATGGTGAAATCGGCCATCGCCTATGCCACAAAGCGTGGGCTTAACCGATACAATGAAGTCCACGGAAAAGAAGAATATAAGGTTGCCACTGACTGGAACTTCAAACATAAGGAGGTAGACACCACCCAAACGCGCGTAAGTGGGAACTTCGAGGTGCAGGCCGGGCCTGCTCTGGGATCTTCAGTGATGTTGTTGCTACACATTGGTCTTTGATCAATGCTCCTGGTCGCAGGGCGGGAGAGGCATTCTTCTTGGGGAGAATGCCAACCTCACTGCTGACAGACTGATGCTGATACTTGTGTTGCATTCAACAACATAATCTTAAATTCAATAGCTTGCTCAAATATCTACAAGTTTTGTGCCATCTATGGCTACCTAAGGAGAGGATCCAATTGCCAAAACCATGGTTTGGCAATGGCTAGCGGCTCTGGCCAACCAAATCCCGGAACTGAGAACAAAAGGGGTGGCAAGAAGCTTGCATTCCCCATTCTCCAAGTTGGTGGGGACCCATACAGCCAGTGACTCAATCCAAGACCCATCACTTAATCTCAAGTACTTAGTGCCAGCCAGAGAATATTCAGGTCAGCTACAGTGCTACACAGAGATTGCCGGAAAAAAGATCGATCAGGCAGAAGACATCAAGGACTGCCCAGGGTCCAAATTGCATATCAGTTGTAAATCCATGTGTATGATGTCGAGTTGAAATTCAAAAGCACACATGCACACACACACACAACACCACGTGCGCTCAAATAGATTGGCATGTTTCAGGAAAAGCTGAAAGAATTCGCCACAGACCGGTCTGACCAGTGCAATGCTTATTGGCTGCTGATTTCAAATCGCAATATAAAGATCAAAATGGCACCCTATGGTAAATCCATGTAAATCCAGTATTGCTGTCCCCAATTTCAATATCATCAGACCATTCAAAGTTTCAAGTATGACTTCAACCATTCCCCGACTTTAGGCTCTTCAAAGAGCTTGACGCCAAGCTGGTCTCCTTCCACAAGAAGTTTGACGAGCTCCTGGTTTTGCAGGCGGATGCTATCCAGCTTGAGACAGAACCGACACAGCAAGAACCTTAGAGCTACTGAGCTACTGAATTAATTCTTTGTGAAAGTTGTGGGATCTCATCGGTGTCTTTTATTTCCCAGCTAAGCTTTTATGCTAGCATCAGTTTGGGTTGGCCCAGGTCTATGAGGGCAAACCTTCGAAAAGTGCTGTGCGACTTGACAAAGGAAGATGTCCAGCTGAACCAAATCGTCACGCGATGCAGGCAGGTCTTTTTCCATTTAGTTTTAGCATGTGTACTCCTTTGACAATTTTTCGGCATGTGTTTAAAGCATGTGCCACCTTGACTTTCGCCAGGGCCGTGAAACCAAAGGCCAAAGCCAAGGCCAAGGCAGGCAAACCCAGGAAGAAGCGAGCAGCCCCTGCTGCGGGCCCAAAGATCGAAGGTGACGGTGAGGATGAGCAGGATGAGGATGAGGAAGAGGAAGAAGAGACCGAAGTAGTGCCAAAAAAGAAGGCAAAGAAAAAGGCGTAGGTGTTTCGATGCCTATAGGCTGCTGATTTTGAGTTCCAGCCCAGCCTGAAAAATATAGGTCAGCATGCCTTGAGCGGCAGTGTGGTTGTCCCCTGCGACTTTTGAAATCTCAGTGTTCAATTGCAGGCCATGACGGCCCTTAGACGCTGTGTGAGTAAATTTGTTCCTACTTGGGGCTTGCCACACAGCCACTGCGTGCTTTTTGGCAATGTGAAAGGTTGACAGGAGATGCCTGACAACAATTCTGCCAGTTTGGCACCGTATGCATTAGATCTGCGGAAACATGGGAAAAACATCAGACCTGCACTGCAGCTCTCTTGTTGTTTCAAGGCTCATGCTACACAAACTTTAACCTATATGTACCTTTGACCCCAATGTGATACTTCGCTCAAGCCAGGTCATTTCAGCTCTCCTGCGCAGTTGAGAGGCTCAATCTGTGCTACTCATATGTATGCAGCTGACACCCACTTGGATGCTGAAAAAATACCCAAAAAACACTCCAACCCAAGTCCTTCCAAGCTTCGGCATCGCAGGCTACACCAATCCGAATCCTGCACCGGCCGAGCCGTCAGCTGAAACTGATGCTGACGTTGAAGCTCTCACTGATGAATTGGCAATGGAATTTATGGGGGAATACCTTACCGGAGACTCTTGGGCTTAGCAATTGTCTTTCCAAATTATAGATGGACTTTTGTTTGGTATGAGAAGAAGTATTAATAGCTTTTCCTATAGACATATGGCCGGAAACCAAGGCTGAGTCGGCCTACAGGGTGGGAAAACTTGCGTCAATGGTTTGTTGTCTCACCAGAAGATGATGCTTGGCCAAGTCTATAAACTGCAGTTTTCATATGTTTTAACCCTGAGTGGTCCCATTTTGTTTGGGTTATAGTTTGTTGGTCAAAACCATTGGAATATCACTGGAGGCTTTGTGAAGGGAAAACTCATGAACAAGCTCAGCACGGCCTTTCGCCAGAAAAACAACGCATGTCGAATTATCCGTTCATTGATCAACAAGACTGACGGGATGACCTTGGACATTCCAATAGACGTATGTCCTGTGACTGTTCGCATGCGCAGACCTGTTCGAAGGTTAGAAGTTTGGTGGCCCATCCTTCGTATGGACCAGTGGGTAAAGTTCTTGTTCAACCAGAAGCCACGGCTGTTGCTGGGTGGCCAGGTGCCAGACCCACAGGGGAAGTGGAAACAGCTTTACTACAATTTCTGGTCTGTCTACCAAAAGATTCATGGGGACCATCCAATCTATTCCAGAACGGACGTGGACCTGGGGACATGCCTTCCCTATTTGATTCATGGCGATGAAGGTCGTGGACAGCTAAAGAGACCTTACCTCGTAGTGTCATGGCAACTATTGATAGGGCACCATGGTCTTGAAGCGACGAATGACTCAGGGTATCATGGTTATTTATATGATCGACATTTTTCTTTGTTTCATGAATGGTGCCATTTCAAACCCCTCAATCAATGGAACCTTGCAAATCCTTGATGAAACAAACCTTCAGGCACAGCTTCACGAGTCGCTTCTTGTTCTCGGGGATTAGCAGCCATTTGTATTACCAAGAGTGGACGGTGGACGATTTGCTGGGTGAATTGGCCAAAGAGGCTATTGATGCATATGAGGTTGGTGTACTGGAGCCTTGGATTGAATGTTCAAAAAATGTTCATAATTTATAGATGATATGTATTGTCGATGTATGTCATCTTCTATGTGATATGATCGACGTCAAATAATAAATATATATGACCTGAACCCAGCCAACAAAAGTCACCCGGGTGGTTCCTTTGCTGCTCCATCAGGATATTGGAAGCACCAAGCTGCGCCTGGTCAACGTCGGGACCAAGGGAGATTGGGTATTCTTACGCAAGGTTCCTTATCTTATTTGATGATCAAGATTTATTATCCTTCCAAACACTTCCAAACATAATCCATAATAGGGGCCACTACCATACCCAAAGTCAAGTATGTGGAAATGGTTATGTGGAGTTTCTTGAGCCCTCTATAATACCGTTACCCTTCAACGGTTTTATTTTTAAGATTGTTACACAATTAACTATTTTCTGGGCTAGTTGGCCAATGGGAGGCCATATATTGTGCATAAAAGCTGTTTTTCTTTTGTGGCAAGCCACTATTATGTTTTATCTTGCAAGGGTATGGTCGGTTAAAGAATTATAAGGTTCCACCTTGTAGGAGTGGGAGAACCCTACTTCGAGTGCGGCCTGGTGGCGGCAAGGGGATGGAGACTGGCCATTTAAGGGCCCATGCCCAATGCTTCAAATACCGGGATCGCACCTACCCAAATACATCCAGTTAGACTACGTTCATGTGTGGCATCTTGGATATGGCGAGGACGCCTGCGCAAGTTCTGTGGTACTGTTGGCTCAGTTAGGCCATTTTGGCCAAGGAACCAGCCTAGATGAAAGGCTCGAAGTTGCTTATGGAAGATTTGACCACTGGTGTAAGGTCCACAAGCGAACAACATCAATTGACTCATTCTCAAAGCAATCCTTCGGGATGGGCCCGTGTTTAGGCCGAAATTCAGTTTAGTTTTTCTTCACCCATTGGGGGTATGGAAGAATTTCCCCCATATACATATTTATTTCTATTTATGACGATATGTATATATATATATATTTGTTATATATATATGTGTGTGTACATGAAATATTGAAATAAATAGATAGATAAATAAATAAGTAAACAAATAAACAAACAAATAAATATCATACATATATATATATACAATATATATATACAATATATATATATATACAATATATATATACAATATATATATATATACAATAAATATATATATATATGCTTATATATTACATACATTTATATATATGTATATGTGTATATATGATATGTATATTACATATTACATATATTACAATAATATATATATATTCATTTATATTTAATATAGATCTATATTATGTTACTTATATAAATATTATTATATATATATATATATGTATGGTGGTGGTGTTGACCTTACCTACTGGGGGTTTCCCTGCTTGCCCAGGAAAGGATTTCCAGTCACTGTGTCCGGAAAGGCCTTCGACACCGGGCTGGTCATGCTCTGGCTTGGCGACGACATGACTTCATCACAGGACTGGCTGGGTATTTAAATATCGTTCTATAAATTCTCAACCCAAAGAAATGCTTATTAGGGATCGACTATGGGACTATTCACCTGGACCCTCATAATTTGTGGACGTTTGGCCTTTTGAACGTTTGGAACGGCTCTAGCAAAACTGAACACTCCCAGTTTGGACTGACTCCCAGGAAAACTGAACACTCCCAAACAAAGGGTAACTGTTTTGGACCCGGGCTGCAAACTGTAGGTGGACCCCGGGAATGATCTCTTCCAAATGTGTCACTATATGGTGAAATGCGCCAACAAGTTCTTTCGAACCTTGATCCATGAAGGCGTTTTGATGCAGGGCGATGTTTGCACCACTGCCAGGGTGGCCGGATCAGAAATGAATGCCAGTTGGTAGCAGTTGTTTCTTTGTTTGGACTATCAAATGTATTCCATAATGCCTAGTGAATATCCAAAATATGTCCCCATGCGTGGGTCCCAAATGGGATAAAGTTGTTGGATATGTATTTTTTCGTCGCCAATCCCTTTGTAAAACTTCAGGTAGCTTATGTGTCCCTTGCTTCAGCAACTTTTGCTGCTGGTATGAAGCTCTATAAGTACCGTCCCAAATTCCACTTGGGCACGCATCTGCCATTGAGCATCACATCCCCAGAGGCCATTAATCCCCATTGATTCTTGGCTCTTGGCTTTAGACCACCTCAATCCCTGCAATTGGTGAAGCTATGGGTGAAGTTGGGGTAGCAATGTGCCCTAAACCATTTCCAGTTGGATTGGAGCCTGTGTTTCCTAGGCTATGCTACATGGGCCGATGAAGATTTCATTGGGAAGGTTTCACGGACTGCACGGTCCACACATCCTTTGACGCAAAGCCTAAGGACATTGGAGAAGTGCCTGGGGCAATATGCCCAGCAATATGCCCTACTCAACTTCTAGGAAGTTTCATGGCCACCTGCAGCTATGATTGAGATGAAAGGAAAAAATGTGCTTGCTTGGAACATTCGCTCAAGTGAGCGTTCAGATTTGTTTGGGAGTGTTCAGTTTTGCCTGGAACCGTTCCAAACGTTCCAAACGTTCAATTGGACAAAAGTACCATAATTATGGTACTTTTGAGGGTCCAGGTAAATGAATTTACAGTAATGATACCTTAGGATTTAAACTCTCCAGTTGATTTGGCTAAATGATGGGGAACCAGGCCTTTTTTTATCTGATTTATGCGGTAGTTCAATGATGTTTGATGGGACCATATTCGGCCAACTGATGTCCAATTCAAATGGGTGGTTTTCACCACCCAAAAACCCTGCATTTGATGCACTTGGATATGCCGGACCCATGGCATAGCAAGTGGTTAGTGACGGTTAGCGTATGCTAGTTGAATGTGAAACATCTGCAGTTCATAGTCTACGTGCAACAGGGATAAATAACATTCATTTCGAACTGGGTCAGATGATCGAGATGAAGCTATGTGATTTTCTGTGATTTTGAATGGTCCAGTGGTGAAGTTCTTAATCAAAATGACTGGCTAAACTGTTGCTGACCACATGCGATGCACATCCAAAGCAGAAGCACCAACTCACAGCGAAGGTGTCAATGTGGAGACAACGTTGCCTTTCTTTTCAGAGGTATCATCATTGTCCCAAAGCACGATGGATCTCCCATCAATCTGTATATTTCTATAAAGGTCAACTATAACGCATTTTTCCAACCATGTCTGTCATTCCCTGCCAAGTGCCGGGTGAAAATTGACTCACCGGCAGAAAACTGTGCCCGCGAGAGCGCCCCCATGGTGTGATTCCCCACCAAGCATCTCCGCGAGCAAGTCCTTTACTTCTTCCACTGACCCTGAAGAGCCACATGCTGCCTGCAAGAGGGTCTTGTAAGTCACCTGACCACCGGGTTTGGTTTGGGAAATTTGCATCCGACCCACTGGTTCATTTGATACCAAGATTTTTGAAATGACCACTGAAATGAAACTCCCAGTTGGCCAAGGCAACTTTGATCGAAGTCTGCAGAACAGGTGTTGGGAGATGTTGGGACGCCATCTGACTCGCAAGTCATAGCTCTGTGTGGATTGTCCCGCGGTTTGATGCACAATATAACTTGGGATGTATAAACTTCCACGTGGCGAAGTGACCAAGTGGGAGAAACTGCTTAAGCTACTTGAACAGCTGCCCATGAAATTATCCAATATGAAACCTGCTGATACCTGCTGATGATTCTCAACATGTCTTAACAGACTCAAAGATTGCAAGTATTGGCTGGTATTTTGGCTGGTCATTCTCTACTGCCTTACAGTAACCCCATCGCAACTCTGTCTCACATCATGAAGTCAAGCACAGACAGAACGACTGCAGATCTAAAGCCAGACCTCATTGGGCTCAATTGCATTTCTGGCCATCTGTGACCGCCAGTGCTGGGCAGCAGGCAAGTTGCCGCAGCGACAACAGGCCAAGATCAAAATGTTGTACGAGATCACTGTGGGTTTGAAAGCCTCGCAGTAGTGTGGTCTCGCCAATTGGAGATGAGGATTTTTGTTTGGCGGGTCGCCGTTCAAATGGGTGAAATTCCAAGAGATTCAACATAATTCAAACCTGCACCTACAGTAGGGGTTCAAAGTCTATCGAAATCTTGGCCTATAGTCGTGAGGCTCAGCATTATTGGTCGCAGGCCAGAAAATGGCCTGCTAACCCAGAAGAGCATGGACATTCTATGCTCGCATGTTCAGAATTTCTTCATGGAAAATTGTGCAGTAACCCCCTGCATTTGGATTTTGGTTGTTTTTTGGGGAAAAAACTTGGTTTCCTTCGGATCTTCCCTGAGAAAAAACCCCTCAATATCCCAGAATCAACTTGAATCAACCCAATGACAATCCATGTTCTGCCTAATTTTCTGGTTGTGCCCCCAGCCCGGCCTCCTTGAGCGCTTGAAAGGCAGCCTCGGCCGTCGAGAGATCCTGCTGTGCCGCGGCCACATCGATGAAAGCCTTCGTGGAAGGCCGGTGGATCAGTCACCGAAACATATCTATAGCAACCCCCACATGACCCACAAAAAAGATAGAAACATGTTTCCAGCATTGACTGATATTGACTGCAATTATAGATGATATATGTTGCCCCTAGTTTCCAGGTATCCAACTTTTCTATCTTTTTTTGGAGGTTTCTATACATCTCGCCACATATCTTCCAGATTTTTCGTGACGATACCGCACATATTTAGTTTTTTTTTTTAAACAATATATATGTGCGAGACATGCCCAAGACATTCGCAAGATCACACATGAAGATCCGGTCTGCGAAAGCATCACATGGTGCAGCGATTCATCATCCTCAAGCGATGCTTGTAATAGAGAAACTGTTAAAGGCACGTGATGCACATGATATGCACATGATATGCACATGTAACTGTCTGATTTACAACCCGATTTGGCCTGCACCTGCCATATCTTTCCATCACAACTCCCTTTTCATTGGCCTTGTTACATCCTGTGGATGATCCTCTCACAGTAGCAATCAGTAGCACCTTGCCATCCAAGGGACATGATATGCCTCCAAGCTGGTGCACGGCCATCGCTTTGCCCAGGAGAGGCCATCTGGAGCGTACTTTCCAGCACTGATCAGGGTCGTGAATGTGAAGCCTAGGCAGTAAGCATCACAGGTCAGATTCCAACATCATCCAATGGAATTTTACATTACCCAAATTAGCCCTATGTTTAAATACTCCATTTGAAATGATTTATGGAAGTGAGTGCCAAATTTTCACCTGATAAAGTCATCTCCCGTTTCTCTCACATGGTTTCATAGTTGTTCATGGGTTATTTACCACATAATACCTTTTCCTGGTAGTTTTTTTTGGTACGGTGGCTGCTCACTGTCTCGAGTGAGCTCTGCTAGCATTTGCTGCTTCTCCCCTGCCCACAACGCAAAGCCAACCGTTTCTCACCGGGAGGCTACTGGGCTCCAGGTGCCTGGATAACAGCTTCTCATACCATCGCCTTGGAAAATTTCGGGGCTGCCCCTGAGATGTCAAAGATGAACAAAAAGGAGACGAGCTGCGGATGTTCACTTAGCCATTTCAAGTTACCCTCTGGTAATTTAACATAGCTATGGAAAATCACCATTTTTAATGGGAAAATCCACTATAAATGGCCATTTTCAATAGCTATGTTAGTTTACCAGAGGGTAGTTTTGGGTGCATTTGGTGAAATTGTTTGGCTCAGACCATCATCGCGTCAGAGAAAGGTCCCTGACTGCAACCACTAGGTTCCTGCCCAAATCTATTTGGCCGTTCCTCCAAATCCGGGGGATTAGCCGTAACTTCCCCGTTGCCGCTGAGCCAAAGAGCTCACATGCGGGTAAATCCCCAGTCTTCGCTGCTGCGCTCAAAATGCTGTTGTAGGCAATGACAGTTGGCGTCACCTGCAGTTCCATCTCCTGTGACCACGGTGCAGCTTTTTGCTACACATATCTTATAATGAAGTTTCGTTCGAATAAAGTTCATTATTCAGTGACACATTTATTGATCCTCCATTACAGCAAAATCAATTGATATCAATTAATATCAAATAATAATTCATCCTTCTCAAAACACTGTTCTCATGTCCTTGGGCGGCTCCTTGTACACTGCCTCTGCCGCCCGCAGGTCATGTGCATTGGCCGCTGCAGTGATGAGCTGATTGTAGGCCATGGTGCCCACATGAGCAGCACCCATTTCTTGCATCCAAAACCTCCTTGTCCGGGTGGATTTTTTTGGGTGGTGAATTTGAAATTCAAAAAAAGTGCCAGAATTTGAATACGACGGGGATACGGAAACTAATGAGTGTTTGTAGGCATCCAACTGCAAAAAGGGTGATTTTCCATTGCAAGGTGTGATGACTTGGCCGGGGGTATGAGCAAATTGAATAATTGGTAGCTAATGTGGGGACTTTGGGTTTCTTCAGTCAAATAAAAATAAATAATAATATCTATCTATATATATATGTGTGTGTGTGTTTGTGCGTGTTTCTGTTTATAGAACATGTTAAGTCTATTTGGGCCCTTGGAATTCCTCATGCCGAAGCCGAAGCCAGCCGAAGCCAGCCGAAAAGCCGAAGCCTAGAGTCGCTGTCTGGACCTGGCCCTTCTTGGCTGCAGCCTCCATCAATTTGCCGAAGGTTTTCATGTTGGGCGCAATCTGGGCACCTAGGTCGATGGCCCAATGACAGCGGGCACATCAATCCTTGCCGCATGATTTTTTGGCTGAAAAGTCTGAACAAATTGACCAGTTTGGATTTATATGGAGTTGCCAGAATCTATCAGTTAAGCGGATTTTTGCATGCCATTGAATTGACCAAATGAGCAGTGTTTCAAACCCGTAACGTCTATACTGGTTGCTTAAGAACCGATTTCCCAGCTCATCTGTGATAATCCCCAATATATTGGATAGTATGACCCAATCATCAACCAGCCATCAACTATCACTTATATCATAATATATATATATATATCTGTGTGTGTGTGTCCCCACATATATGTTGATATGTTATAATATGTAGTTAATCCATGTTCACCACTGTCATCACGGTGCCCCCTCGTTGAGGTCACGACCCAGCATCGAGTCGTAGAAGTCTTTGGCTTTCTCTGCTTCTCCCGCATTGGCATAGGCCTGCCATGGGTCCCTGATGGATCACCTGATGAGGTCATCCCCGGATGGAAAATCACGGAGTTTTCTGCAGGTCTCATGTCTTTTCATGTGGCACAACTCATCATTGTTAACGGGGGCGTTGGCGATAATTTTTTTTACAGCATCACAACGCATGCTCGATTTTCTCAGCTGAGGCTTATCATAAGCCATAATTAATCAAAGGGGGGTTGCACTGGTGTTTTGCACTGCTGTTGCCACCCCAGTGACATGATCAAAACTGGGTCTCTTTCCCCTGGCCGGCTTTCCCATCCAATGTGGGATCCACGAGTCATCCCCGAACTATGATTGTTATCAGCCAGAATCAGCAATCAGGCGAAACCTAAATCATTCCAACTAGGGGCATACTGCTACACGTAGCTAAAAAAAAACTCTGGCAATTCCACGTAGCTATGGAACATCATCATTTTTCAATATTTTTCATAGGTAAATCATCATAAAACCATCTGTAAATGTGCAATTTTACAGAACTAGCTTAAATCACAAAAGGGACTTTGGTATACCCATTAATGAACCACAACTTGGCGGTGGCTCGTTGCAGATCCCACCCCCTTTTAAAAGCCTTCAGCATCGTGTTCCAAAGCATCCGCCTCGCGCTGTATTTACACATCCGACCAAGGGTCCACAAATGAGTGATGATGACCCCCGCAATATGGAAAAACACCTATTCAAATAATTTTACATACTGATTTTCGATTGCCATATTTTTTGACCACAGGGTGAACCCAATAAACCAGACCTCCGTTTATAAGTTGGTCACGTTGGTCATTAATTATACACCTTCCAAACTTGGGACGATTGAGAAACTGTCAGACGTTTCACTGGTTTCTACACGTTTCCAATACGAGAACAATAAAAGGTTTGCCATAGTAATGGGATGGGTATAGATGGTATATCGACCATGTTACTGGAACCAGTCCATACCCAAAAAAAGTACCGGGCAGCAAAAAGTTGTGGCTGGGCAAACGAAACATGTCCAAACTCCCAGCAAACTGGCCAACAATCAACAAATGAACCTACCCTTCACTGGTTGGCCCAGTTCCATCCGTTTTGACCGTTCAACAGCCACAACTGGTTGCTTCCAAATACATTCACATCCCCAAGTCTCAAGCTAGCATACCAAGGTTTACCTAGAAATGGTTGTTTCCTTTTCTTGCCGATTCATTCCATTTATGTCCAGCTTAAACCTCTCTTGTTGTTTTAACCAAGCAACCTACCCACCGAGTCACCAGTCAGTTCGCCTTTCTTGATCTTGTACATCATCAACAAACATCAAATTATAAATTGGATTCTGGTAAGTCACTTTGTATTTCACCATCATATTAATAAAGCCAGCAGCCATCAGCAGTGCCGCCTCTTCTTCGCTGTTACCAAGGGCCGCAATTGAGAGAAGAGTCGCCAGGCATCGCCGACCGCTGCGGCCGTGGCTGCGTCGTTGAGCTCCTGAGTCACTGGGATGATTTCATGGAGGTGCAGGAAACCATATCATGGGTATCATGGGGCCTTTGCCTTACTGTTTTTTTTAAAGGACCGCGCTTTGTGTAAAATGAACAAAGCAGAATGAGAACATTAATATCATGAGATGTGCACAGATTTCGGCTATGTGATGCTTATGCGTTACATCACTTCCATTCTTCCATAAGATCCAGAACACATTCTCAACAATATATGCATGCTGCACCGCTCCTCCATCAATTGCTTCGTGCAGACCTGGCGGCCTGAGAAAGGTGGGAAAGACGAACGCAGAAGTTGAATGTAAGATATCCATAGATATCTTGTAACATCATATATATAATTATATATATATATATATTGTCCACAAACAAGGCTCCTTTCCACCGTGAAAGTTCTACCTAGACGGTCCGGATCCTCATCCATCATCATCCCAAATAACTGGGGGTTTATTATGGTTTATTATTGGGCGTTTACATGTTTGTTTGTTTTTTTTTAACCTCAGTAGCCTTTCCTCCAGGCAGAACGGACAGGTGGGCATCCCAATGTTCCGATAAGCAGCCTCCAGCAGGGTAGCATCTTGAGGTCAGTAGGCGCCCATGGTGCATGAGTTGGCATTTTTAGCGATGTCGCCAAACAAGCTGGTGGTGGATGTTTCTCCCTTCACACCAAAACAACACGACGTTGGAATCCGACATAGCGCCTTGGCACCGTGGTTTAAAAAACAGAACAGGCCACTGTGGGAGTGCGCAAATTGCAGCATTTCCTGTGCAAAGATCCAACAGCATATGGCGCAACCGGACAAAATTGAATTCCATTCCTCTCTGCTGTTCATTGGCTGAATGCACTATGTCATAGCAAACATTGCTGTACTGTAGTGTATCGACCTTGCTTCTAGTGCAACCACTGACAGTGCCTGGCAATCTCTGCTTGGCACATCTGCAATGGCTATCCAAACCAAAAAACCAAAAAACCAAGAAACCAAAAAACCAAAAAACCAAAACACCAAAAAACCAAAAAACCAAAAAACCAAAAAACCAAAAAACCAAAAAAACAAAAAACCAAAAAAAACAAAAAAAACAAAAAGACAAGACCCAACACTCTGCATCTGACCCCCTCCCCTTGGGGTGTGCAATCTTGGTTTTTTTTGTTTTTTGTTTTTTTGGTTTCTTGGTTTTTTGTTTTTTTGGTTTTTCCATGGTTTTTTGCAGTTTGGCCAAAACCTCGAGAACAAAAAAAAAAACAAAAAAAACAAAAAGTTCAGACCCATGGGCAAGGCCTGTGCTATCCACACACAAACCAAAAAACCAAAAAACCAAGAAACCAAAAAACCAAAAAAACAAAAAAAACAAAAAAACAAGATTGCACACCCCAAGGGGAGGGGGTCAGATGCAGAGTGTTGGGTCTTGTCTTTTTGTTTTTTTTTGGTTTTTTGGTTTTTTGGTTTTTTGGTTTTTTGTTTTTTTGGTTTCTTGGTTTTTTGGTTTTTTGGTTTGTGTGTGGATAGCCCAGACCTTGCCCATGGGTCTGATTTTTTTTTTGTGTTCTTGAGGTTTTGGCCAAACTGCAAAAAACCATGGAAAAAACCAAAAAAACAAAAAAAAACAAAAAGTTCAGACCCATGTCCCCTGCCAGGCCTCTCCCCAGACCTTGCCCATGGGTCTGAACTTTTTTTTTGTTTTTTCCATTGTTGTTTTGAATGTTTTTCATGTGAAGATGCTTTCATCACAGTACCTCTCAAAAAAATGCGCGTCTCTACAATTTGCACACCTGCGCCCCCCAGGCCAAACTGCAAAAAAACCCATGGAAAAACCAAAATTCATTTAATGACTTATATAATGACTAATAAAATGATTAATATAATGATTAATGTAATGACTTTTTTTCATGAATATAATGACTAATAAAATGATTAATATAATGATCAATATAATGATTCATAAAATGATCAACATCATGATTATTATAATGATTAATTTAATGATTAATTTAATAATTATTTAAATGAAGATTTTAATGATTAATATCATCATTATTATCATGATTCATATAATGATTAATGTAATGGTTCATATAATGCCTAATGCAATGACTAATATAATTAATATAATGATTCATATAATGATAAATAGAATGATTCATCTCATGATTCATTTAATGACGTTTATAATGACTAATATAATGATTAACAAAATGATTAATGTAATGATTTATGTAATGGCTGAAATAATAATTCATTCATTGACTAACATAATGATTAATATCATGATTCATAGAATGATAAATATAATGATTAATATAATGATTCATTTAATGATAGATAGAATTATTCATTGCATGATTCATGTAATGACTTTTATAATGACTAGTATCATGATTATATTTAAAGAATGATTAATATAATGATTACTATTATGATGAATACAATGATTAATACCATGAGCAAAATACTGACTAATTTAATGAATTTATATATAATGAGTAATGTAATGATTAATAAAATGGTTAATATAATGATTCATTTAATAACTAATATAATGATAAATGCAATGGCTAATGTAATGAATGTTATAGTGATTAGTTTAATGATTGATTTAATGATCAATATATTGATTAATATAATGGTTGAAACATCGTATAATGACTAATAAAATGATCAATATAATGATTCATAAAATGATCAACATCATGATTATTATAATGATTAATTTAATGATTAATTTAATAATTATTTAAAAAGAGATTTTAATGATTAATATAATCATTATTATCATGATTCATATAATGATTAATGTAATGGTTCATATAATGCCTAATGCAATGACTAATATAATTAATATAATGATTAATATAATGATTCATATAATGATAGATATAATGATTCATTTCATGATTCATTTAATGACTTTTATAATGACTTTTATAATGACAAAGATAATGATTAATATAATGATTTTTGTAATGGCTGATATACTTGATAATTTATTGACTAATATAGTGATTAATATAATGATATATATAATGACTAATATAATGATTAATAAAATGATTAATATAATGAATTATTTAATAACTGATATAATGATGATTCATTTAATGATTCATTTAATGATTAATTTAATGATTCATATAATCATAAATATAATGATTCATATAATGATAAAAATAATGACTTATATAATGACTAATATAATGACTAATATAATGATTAATGTAATGACTGCATGGAAAAAAGTGCACTCCCACAGCGGCCAGCTCTCTTAAAAAAAGCGCATTCCAAGGCCATGGGATGCCATGGGCATTTCAGGCAATTCTGATGTTGCTTCTGTGGCCTGTGGTGATGTTGCTTCAGTTGGGCAACCAGTTGTGGCTCTTGAGTGGGTCTCGTATCTGAGTTCGGGATTGCAGGAGAGCTTAGAGCAAAAAGACTGCAGGAAAATGTCAAAAAAAACACTCTCGACTGCAGTCTTCAAAACATGTTTTTCCATGAAAACTCGTTTCCAGAAATATCATCCGAGTCTTGAGATCCCTCAAAAAAGGCGCTTCTGCAGAAGCCAGCTTGCATCTCCAACGGCTCTTTAGGCTAGAGGATATGCGGAGGATATATGGGGAATATATGCTGGACATTCTATCAATATCATTCATGTTCGCATTACCCATCCCGGGATCGGTGTTTTCCTTCAGCTCCTTTGAAACGAACGGCATCAGTGCCGTTCTCTGTGCCTCTCAGCAGCTCAGCGACATTTGGAAAAGGTGATGCCGCAGGAGAGCATAGCGATCACCAGGATCACTAGCACCTGAGACCACTCAGCTCCACTCAGCGGATCACGGGATATCACGGATTAACGACTGGGTAACTTCCAGCCATGTCCAGCCAACCATGCTGTTTGGATGTGGCATCGAAGACCCTAAATCTCCAGAACTCGTTAGTCTCCAAACATCTCCATTTTGCTCCAGCAAGACTGCAAAGGCCGAGGTCATGCGAAGTGATGTAATAGCAAGTAATATCTATCATATATCTATCTACATGATTCTACATGAACGTATGTGCAGAGAGAGAGAGAGAGAGAAAGCACGAGAACAAATAATCCTTAAAACATCGTCCCTTAAGTAAGTGGCACTGCCAGTCTCAAGGAAGAGTTTTTCTCCTGTTGCAACACCAGTGGATCTTTAGCATGCTCAACCCCTTCCGATTTTCATACGATGTCTCTTAAATGCTGAACCCTCAGGCCCGCAACACCGCAACAGCGCAACATTTCACAACCAGGCTGTTTCAGGCACCACAATGAGGCCCATGATGAGAACTTTCTTCACGTTGCCCCACCAGACCAGGCGTCTCAGCTGTTCGGCATCTCTGCGGAAGGAACTGGCAGACTCGCTTAGCACCTGGCTGCGGCTCACCTCAACGTGGCGTGCTTAACGTGGCGTTTCACGTGGAAAGGCCGAGGGGATGAGAATGTGATCTTCCAAGCGATCCCCAAGCGATCCCATAAGCGATTTGGGATCAAAAGCAAAAGTGGTGATGATTTTTCACCAAGCAAAGGTTGCTGAGGCTGAGCCGCCACCATGAAATCGTCCTATCAACTGAACATGCACACCCTCATCACTGCATGCAATTCACCCGCGCCCTGGGTACCTCACTTTCTTCTTAGTTGAACTTGAAACTTGAAACAATTGCAGCAACAAGACAGTTCACATGTCACCGAAGATTTCCTCCAGTCTCACCATCATCCCATTTTTTCCAAGCATGAACCCACTGCTCGGCGCTAATCTCTGTTTTGACCAGTGGCCAAAAGCTCGATCTTCTCTTGCCTCTCCATGATTTTGTCGATACTTTCCATCAGATGGTCGTTGATATGTTGCACCTGCCGCAGTGGCATGGGCAAATGCCCCAGGCTCCTTGTCTTGGAACCATGGTGCAAAATGATTGGTTGAAATATGCTGAAATACCGTGAAATATGGTGATGGGCCAAAACCTATGAAACCTATGAACTACCATAATTTGGGGTGATTGGCATCCATTTACAACCTATTTTGACACCCCCCAAAATGTGCAAAATGATACATTTAATTTAACAGAGAAACCTAATGTCTGAAGCGCCTGGAAAAAACTGGACAGACTGGAATCTTGACCACACTGAATGGCAAATTCCAGGTACAGCTGACAACTACAAATAGTGACTGGACTCTGGAGACGTGGGGCTGGGGGATATTTTTTGCAAGCAAATTCAACATTGGGCCCCTATGGGCCACCCGTAAATCACTTAATGGGGGAAGTATTACTGGAAGTAACCCATTTCAACCACGGGCCCATCATGCTTGTAGCAGCCGGGGCAGCTGCGGCCATACCCTGCTGCAGGACAAACCCATCCCACTTTGGATCGCCATTGTTGGCTAAATCATGGCTGTTTTTCCCGGCCGGGTCAACATATCATGTTTTGAACATTCCCATATCATATCAATTCATATCATGGATCAATATTGGTTATATCATGTTATATCATGTTAATTATACGTATAATTATATCTCCCATTTCCAGCAGGATCTCCAGCCGTGATTCCGTGATCCTAAGGCCTTGGTCATCATCGCCGCTACACGGTCCACATCTGGAGAGTTGTAACGTTCCAAGAGGTGCCTCAGCCAAAACATCCAATGACGAGATGTCAATGGGAGATCTCCAGGATCCTAAAATGGAGGTACCAGGTACCATATGTTTGGCCATATTTTGTGGGGATATGCCCACAAAATATGGCCTGAAAAGTAGGCCTTATATATGGTAGGTACCTCCAATTTAGGTTCCTGAAATGGCCATTGACGATGGGGATAATATGATATTTCATGGGCTTGGTATATCATTGGTATAGGATGGAATGATACTGGGTATATAATGGGGTCCCTAAAATGGCAATTTCAATTGAATAGAGTAGAACTGGAAATCCCTGGATGTTGGGGCACCTTCATTTCAGACAAACCAAATCGACTGTGATCTGAACAATTTTCCGGGCCCTCCCCATCTGTGGTTGAATTCTAAAGAATATGACTCAAGAGTGTCCTAGGAAATAAGTCCAAAACTAGAAATAATCCAAGGCATAGTTTCAATAATTCAAAGACCTAAGGGACAAAATTGAAAAGAAATGTTGTTTTCCTCCACTTGTTTGAATTTTGTGTCTTTAAACATCTTTAAACAAATGAAAAACAACACTTAACGGTTAACCCCCAACCTGACACTTTATTTTGTTAGACACTTGTTGCTGAGAATCTGGCGGGTGGTTTCAACCTGCCTGAGCAATAGGAGTACCTGCCTGAGCAATAGGAGTCATGGAAGATCATCGGTTGGTGTTATCTCTGTGGTTTGATGTGCTTGAAAACAAGTCTCATCTTTTCCGAGCTGTTATTTTGTATGATGTTTGATCCTTTCTGCTCATCCGTCCGCGCAGTGTTGGTTGTATCACTTATACCCCTTGAGGCCCTTGAGATGAGTTTTTTTACATATTGTTGGTAACATTCCGTTAGTTATACTATGTACAGCAATACTATTACTAATATATACGTATGATCAAATTATGCTTATCTATGACTATTTGACAATTTTCTATGATTGTTTGATATGATGTGTGATGCATTTTGATTTCTTCTTCTCAGATGTAGTTACTATTTCTCTGGTTGGTGGTTTGAACCCCTCTGAAAAAATATGAAAGTCAGTTGAGCTTATTATTCCCAACATATGGAAAAATAGAATTCATGTTCCAAACCACCAACCAGTTCTTATTATGACATGTTTTGTTTCCCGAATGCGTAGCAAGGGTTCCCGTTTCACTCTGGGGGTCTGCGGGTTGAGGGTGTGTTCGCTCGACGTTGCGTTCGCGAGCGCAACCGTTCGCAACCGTTCGCAACCGTTCGCGTGAGGACCGTATGGCCGTGCCTATGGGAAGTTTTACAGAGGTGGTCCTTTTTGGAGGTTTCAGACGTCTGGCTGCTTCGTTTCGCGTGGCAGGTGTGGCACTTCGTGACATTCAGACGTGTTCTGCAACGTGTCGCAAGCCGTTTTGCGTGGCAGGCGCAATACTTTTGCGACGTTTTCAGAAGATGTGTTGCAGTTTTCGTGGCAGGCGCAACACTTTGGACGCGTCCATCGTCATTTTTCGTGGCAGGCGCAGCACTTTAGACGCGTCCTGTGGCGTGTTTTTTGTAAATCGCATTGGCAGGGCTGCGTCAAGTGGTGACAAGGTGAAAATTCCGTGGCAGGCGTGGCATTTTCTGACACGTGCTGAAAATTGACGGAAGCCTCGCACGAAACATCGATTTTGAGGTTGCAAATTTTCAGGTTCTAAGGAAAACTCGTAGGAAAACGTCGATTTTGAAGCTGCAAAGTGTGAAAAGTGGAGGAAGTCTCGCACAAAATGCTCGTTTTGGTGCTCCCACCTGTCTCTTCTCGCGTGTCTGGTTTTCCCGTGGCCTCGCCGTGTCTATGGGGGAAGCTGCAAAACTTGTCTTTTTATCTTGTCGGCAACTGTGAAAATTGCCGGAAGTCTCGCACAAAATGCTAGTTTTTCTGTATCCACGTGTCTTGTCTTGCGGCGCTTGTGTTTCTGTGGCGTCGCCGTGTCCATGGGGGAAGCTGGAAAACCTCTCCTTTTCGAATGTTTCCAAGCAGGTTGTCATGTTGTTTTGCGTGGCAGACGTGGCACTTTTTGACATTCCAACCTGTTTGATAATGTGTCGCAAATGACACAATTGGAGGAAGTCTCGCACGGAACGCTCTTTTTTCTGCATCCACGTGTCTTGTCTGTGTGTCTCGTTTTCCTGTGGCGTCGTTGTGTCTATGTGGGAAACGGCAAAACACCTCCTTTTCGAATGTTTCCATGCAGGTTGTCATGTCGTTTTGCATGGCAGGCGTGGCACTTTGTGACATTCCAACCTGTTTGATAACGCGACGAAAATGTTAAAATTGGATGAAGTCTCGCATGAAATGTTCGTTTTTCTGCACTTACGAGTCTCGTTTCGAGTCTTTGGTTGTCCTGTGGCGTCGCCGTGTCTATGGGGGAAATTGCAAAATGTCTCCTTTGCCAAGGTTTCAAATTTTGAATATACTAGATTGTTGGTTCAGTGAGGCTTGCGGTTTGTAAATATATGGCAAGAGTGCGATTATGTTGAAGGTGGAAAGTTGCTGTGTGGACTCATCCAGATTTCACACAGTGTCGTTTATATATTTTTGGTTCTGTGGCCAAGGTTTCAAATTTTGAATATACTGGATTGTTGGTTCAGTGAGGCTTGCGGTTTGTAAAGATATGGCAAGAGTGCGATTATGTTGAAGGTGGAAAGTTTCTGTGTGGACTCATCCAGATTTCACACAGTGTCGTTTATATATTTGTGGTTCTGTGTCGGCAAACATTTCGGCTGGGCTCAATAGCAAGAGAACGTTAAGCAGTCACAGTTCATGAGGAATGGTGTTTTTAGATATATTGCAAGATGGTGATTTTCGAGTGTTCGTGAGAGACATGCAAGCAAATGTCGCATGCACGGAAGTGGTGCTGATGCAGGCATGAAGGTTGATAGCGATGTTGTTGAAGATCTGTCTTTGTAGACACGTGACTGTTTTCAGACACATGATGGATGTGTCTTTCTTTTTTTTAATATGGCGGGTCGCCGGTTTGCGCGCTCGACGTTGCGTTCGCGAGCGCAACCGTTCGCAACCGTTCGCAACCGTTCGCGTGAGGACCGTATGGCCGTGCCTATGGGAAGTTTTACAGAGGTGGTCCTTTTTGGAGGTTTCAGACGTCTGGCTGCTTCGTTTCGCGTGGCAGGTGTGGCACTTCGTGACATTCAGACGTGTTCTGCAACGTGTCGCAAGTCGTTTTGCGTGGCAGGCGCAATACTTTTGCGACGTTTTCAGAAGATGTGTTGCAGTTTTCGTGGCAGGCGCAACACTTTGGACGCGTCCATCGTCATTTTTCGTGGCAGGCGCAGCACTTTAGACGCGTCCTGTGGCGTGTTTTTTGTAAATCGCATTGGCAGGGCTGCGTCAAGTGGTGACAAGGTGAAAATTCCGTGGCAGGCGTGGCATTTTCTGACACGTGCTGAAAATTGACGGAAGCCTCGCACGAAACATCGATTTTGAGGTTGCAAATTTTCAGGTTCTAAGGAAAACTCGTAGGAAAACGTCGATTTTGAAGCTACAAAGTGTGAAAATTGGAGGAAGTCTCGCACAAAATGCTCGTTTTGGTGCTCCCACCTGTCTCTTCTCGCGTGTCTGGTTTTCCCGTGGCCTCGCCGTGTCTATGGGGGAAGCTGCAAAACTTGTCCTTTTGTCATGTTGCCAACTATGAAAATTGGAGGAAGTCTCGTACGAAATGCTGGTTTTTCTGCATCCACGTGTCTTGTCTCGAGTCCCTGGTGTTCCTGTGGCATCGCCGTGTCTATGGGGGAAGCCGCAAAACCTCTCCTTTTCGAAGGTTTCCAAGCAGCTTGTCATGTCGTTTTGCGTGGCAGGCGTGGCACTTTGTGACATTCCAACGTGTTTGATAACGTGTCGAAAATGTCAAAATTGGAGGAAGTCTCGTACGAAATGCTCGTTTTTCTGCATCCACGTGTCTTGTCTGTGTGTCTCGTTTTCCTGTGGCGTCGTTGTGTCTATGGGGGAAGCGGCAAAACATCTCCTTTTCGAATGTTTCCATGCAGGTTGTCATGTCGTTTTGCATGGCAGGCGTGGCACTTTGTGACATTCCAACCTGTTTGATAACGCGACGAAAATGTTAAAATTGGATGAAGTCTCGCATGAAATGTTCGTTTTTCTGCACTTACGAGTCCTGTGGCGTCGCCGTGTCTATGGGGGAAATTGCAAAATGTCTCCTTTGCCAAGGTTTCAAATTTTGAATATACTAGATTGTTGGTTCAGTGAGGCTTGCGGTTTGTAAATATATGGCAAGAGTGCGATTATGTTGAAGGTGGAAAGTTGCTGTGTGGACTCATCCAGATTTCACACAGTGTCGTTTATATATTTTTGGTTCTGTGGCCAAGGTTTCAAATTTTGAATATATTGGATTGTTGGTTCAGTGAGGCTTGCGGTTTGTAAAGATATGGCAAGAGTGCGATTATGTTGAAGGTGGAAAGTTTCTGTGTGGACTCATCCAGATTTCACACAGTGTCGTTTATATATTTGTGGTTCTGTGTCGGCAAACATTTCGGCTGGGCTCAATAGCAAGAGAACGTTAAGCAGTCACAGTTCATGAGGAATGGTGTTTTTAGATATATTGCAAGATGGTGATTTCCGAGTGTTCGTGAGAGATATGCAAGCAAATGTCGCATGCACGGAAGTGGTGCTGATGCAGGCATGAAGGTTGATAGCGATGTTGTTGAAGATCTGTCTTTGTAGACACGTGACTGTTTTCAGACACGTGATGGATGTGTCTTTCTTTTTCCCGAATGCGTAGCGAAGGGTTCCCGTTTCACTCTGGGGGTCTGGGGGTTGAGGGTGTGTTCGCTCGACGTTGCGTTCGCGAGCGCAACCGTCCGCAACCGTCCGCAACCGTTCGCGCGATCCCCGTATGGCCGTGCCTATGGGAAGTTCTGCAGAGGTGGTCCTTTTTGGTGGTTTCAGACGTGTCGTTGCTTCGTTTCGCGTGGCAGGCGTGGCACTTCGTGACATTCAGACGTGTTCTGCAACGTGTCGAAAGTCGTTTTGCGTGGCAGGCGCAATACTTTTGCGACGTTTTCAGAAGATGTGTTGCAGTTTTCGTGGCAGGCGCAGCACTTTGGACGTGTCCATCGTCATTTTTCGTGGCAGGCGCAGCACTTTAGACGTGTCGCGTTGCGTGCCTTTTGCAAATCGCATTGGCAGGGCTGCGTCAAGTGGCGACAAGGTGCAAATTCCGTGGCAGGCGTGGCATTTTGTGCGATGTGCTGAAAATTGACGGAAGCTTCGCACGAAACATCGATTTTGATGTTGCCAATTTTCGGGTTCTAAGGAAAACTCGTAGGAATTCGTCGATTTTGAAGCTGCAAAGTGTGAAAATTTGAGGAAGTCTCGCACGAAATGCTTGTTTTGGTGCTCCCACCTGTCTCTTCTCGCGTGTCTGGTTTTCCCGTGGCCTCGCCGTGTCTATGGGGGAAGCTGCAAAACTTGTCCTTTTGTCGTGTTGCCAACTGTGAAAATTGGATGAAGTCTCGCACGAAATGCTCGTTTTTCTGCATCCACGTGTCTTGTCTCGAGTCGCTGGTTTTCCTGTGGCGTCGCCGTGTCTATGGGGGAAGCCGCAAAATCTCTCCTTTTCGAAGTTTCCAAGCAGGTTGTCATGTCGTTGTGCGTCGCAGGCGTGGCACTTTCCTCACTCCACACTCCACACTTTACACTCCTCACTTTACACTCCACACCTTACACTCCACACTTTACACTCCTCACTCCACACCCCACACTCTACACTCCTCACTCCACACTCCACACTTTACACTCCACACTTCACACTTTCCACTCCACACTTTACACTCCACACTTTACACTCCACACTTTACACTCCTCACTCCACACTTTACACTCCTCACTCCACACTTTACACTCCACACTTTACACTCCACAGTCCACACTTTACACTCCACAATTTACACTCCACACTCCACACTCTACACTCCTCACTCCACACTCCACACTTTACACTCCACACTCCACACTTTACACTCCTCACTCCACATTTTACACTCCTCACTCCACACTTTACACTCCACACTTCACACTCCACACTTTCCACTCAACACTCCACACTCCACACTTTACACTCCTCACTTTACATTCCACACTCCACACTCCTCACTCCACACTTTACACTCCACACTTTACACTCCACACTCTACACTTTACACTCCACACTTTACACTCCACACTCTACACTTTACACTCTACACTATACACTCTACACTCACACTTTACACTTTATACTCCACGATTTCCACTTTACACTCCTCACTCCACACTTTACACTCCACACTTTACACTCCACACTCCTTACTTCACACTCCAAACTCCACACTCTACACTTTCCACTCCACACTGCAGACTGGTAACAAGGGAAACATGTACAAGACTGTTCAAATAAACTATTGCAGAAAGGTATTGTGCGTCACTGCATAACCATGTGTTTTGACATCTGTACCATTAACACACGTGTGAGCATTCGGGTTCGTGGGCTTCATCTTGTTTTTTTTACTTGTGATGTTTTTTTTTAACCAAAATTCTGGATAGTTCTTCCAAGGCGATTCCGACGGCGATTCCCATCATTTTTCTACGGCAAAAACGTCGCGTTTTTGTCGCCGCGGCACTGCAACTCGTCCCGGAAGTCGCTCTGCATGCCGTAGGCGATGGCACTCTCCACCTGCTCCTGGAGACCCAGTTTGGATGTTGAGTCGATGGGTTGTTGGTGGTTTATAGATCTTAATAGATATGTTAATATAGACAATATAGATGTTAGTATAGATGTTAATATAGATGTTAATGGATCTTACTAGATGTTAATATATAGATGTTAATGGATCTTAATAGATGTTAATAAATGTCAATAGATGTTTGAACATGTTAATAGATTGTAAAAGGATGTTACTAGGTGTTCGAAAGGATGTTAAGGATGTGGATAGCTCCTGGACAACATGTAATAACATCCTTCTACACATGTGTTAATAGATATTCATGAATGTTTAGCTGGAAAGGAGAAGGATCGTGGTTGTTGCTTTTCCTCATGGCAAAATACAGCCAACATCATGATCATATCTCATGCACCTATTGTCAGCGGATTGAGCCGTAGATTATACAAACAAATTCGGTTCCAGACATTCCTTGGTCCTATGCAGTCCAAATCCACACATGTTTACCCTTGGACACCCCTCACCACCTTGCATTAGGTACTAGCTCGTGCACCCAACAAAGGATTATACATAAGTATAGATAGTAGGCTGGTTCTCTCTCTCTCTCTATCTCTTCTCTCTCTCTCTCTCCATCCCCATCTCAGAGAGTTCAATTGCTCTGAAACATGTCCGGCAACAAAGCAACTTACACTTTTTTGTGGGCACTTCCGTGCACATACAACACATACACATAAGGGATCAACGACCACAAAATGCATTCTACAAGCACAACTGCATCTGCCAAAATGGTAATTTCATTCTGGCATCTGATGCATCTGTGTGTACCAAATGAGTCGTCACGTTGACTCCTTGGTGTACTTCTGCATGAAGGTTTCCTGTACGGCTTGAAGGAAGGCAAAAGGGACCCTGCGCATCAGCGCACGCTCCGCCATGCAAACGAACCACAAATTCGACGTCTGGTCCACGATGTAGTGGAAGGCGTAGTCACCATAGATGTAACTCTTCCATTCAATTGAGCCTCAGTCGGTGATGGGTTTAGGGTTAGGACCGTTCAGAAGCAAGCCTTGGGGATGGGACATGAAATAGTGGACATCCCGAAGTTCATGTCTCCAAATTGCCAATGTCGCCAAAGTAGTGTTTCAAGTTTCCTTTCCTAATCGTTTTTGCTCGTAAATTGCAAAAGGTGCCTCTCAGCCTAACGCACTAGCAAAACAGGGGTCTGGTGCCAGGGGGTGGGGTTGGACTGGAAATTATATAAAATTAATTCAAGGACCCCAACCTGGGGGAACCACAAATTCAGTCGAATTTCGAATTTAGAATCAAGGAGCCAACCCCATTTTTCCTTAAACATCAACAAATTCCCAAATTAAAATTAAGGATTGTCAAAAAAATCAACAGGTCCCCAAGGTTGCTAGTGGTCCCTTAGCGTTACTTCCCCATCCGTATCGATCGTCAAAGTTGCAGCTGTCGTGCAGCATCGTGCACCTCTTATACTGTTTGTTACATTTAGAACTGCTGCAAGCAACGGCTCGCGGAGAACGGACAGCTATGGGGTCGCCCCCTGCAACTCTTTTTTTGGCTCTTATAAATCTAATATGATGTATAAAAGCTGTATGCATATACATGATATTATCTTGAACACATTTTAACTGACACAAGCAAAAAATATAATTAGCAGGGGCCCAACCTATGGCCCATCCAACAGCAGAACCTGTTGAGATCCTGATCACACGGCCTCCCCAGAAAATAAAATCTAGGGAACCAACCCACCAAACCACCCTCACAGGGGATATTTTAAACATATTCTAGGGGCTCAGGCCCCTTGATTTTATCCTGGAGCACCCAAAGGGGGTACTAGCAAACCTCCTAGTGCCTCCATGAATGTCAGAAAACGATGGAAAAGGCACTGGATCAACTTCCTTGCGTTTTGATTGGTGTTCGATTTTGGATGATTTTGGAGAGCTAGAAAGATTGACCCATATCTTCGCATTCCACTGAAAATAGTGTTTTTTTCATCCAACTTTCCCATTTTGTTCTCTGATTTTCCATCCAAAAAATCAAGAAACTCTCCAACTTCTGCAAGATCTGCATGGTGGCCTGCTGGAAGTTCCCTGCCAGAGCGGTGTACTCGGCCAGGACCACCTTTTGGTTCCGGATAACCTGGGCGTTTAAAATGGACGCACCTTTTCGGGGGATGTGTTTTTTATGGCCCCAAAATACCAAAATTGGATTGATGGATGTGAATGGGCTATATTTTATGACAGTTTAATCTTAATATATTTAATGGACTTACCTCATTACTACTGAGTATATCCCGGTACCTAGATTTGGGATGGGAGATTAAACTGGACTAAATAACTGGCTACGCGTTGCTGGTGGCATTGGCTGATGAGGATTGACTCCTGTCACTTCACTGTCCCGTGTTGCGAAGCGACGAGGGCATAGATGATCTGCGATCTCTCGCGATCCATGGCGGTACTGGCAGTACTGTGCGAGTCGCCAACTGTATTGGCAAATGCAATGCAAATGCCCCGTGCCCAACATCATGGTGGTCAAATGCTCTGAGCTAGATGATGATCTGCATTGCGGATGGATTTGGTGTTGGCTATGGCTCCAGTGTAAAGTATTTGACCAAGATGTGAATCCATTCAGACAAGGCCGTACTTAAACCGAGAACCCTCAGAGAACTGCGTAGTCAAGTTTGTGTGGCAGCATTATTGGGCGGGGAACAAGGGACGTGCTTAGGCTTACCATGCCTCGTGGCCCGCTTGCAACTTTCAACCCACCAACCCAACTGCAAGCTGCAAAGTTGTCACACCTTACCAGTGCCTACTGTCCAAAGCCCAAAGCCGTGCCAAAATATTGCAAACCCCACTGGCACTCATGGTTCTTCTTAGATTTGCCTCAGAAGGCCACAAGAATGACATACCTATATCGATCATATTTCCAGTATAGACTACTGCACAGTAATGTACCAAAATTCACGTTGCCGATTAGTTAAGAGGGAAATCAACAAAATCACCTTCAAAATATCTTCAGTAATTTCGGGTCTCACCAGCAAGCTCTGTAGATCGATGCTACCTGCAGGCATGATTCATTCACTGGAGAAACAACTGGATGGCCAAAAAACATATGAATGTCGCGTCCAAAGTCTTCAATCTTGATCTGTCCATGGTTTCTGAAGATCTTCACACATTTCAATGCTGTGCCATGCTGTGCCACATTTGGGGCTCATCCGTTTCAACATCCGCCCCATTTCCAAACCCTGGATGCAACCCACTATCCACTCTTTTTTTGACGCCCCCTGGCACGCTGCGGGAGCTATTCTGCGATCACTTGGCCTGGGAGCTGCACAGCTGCAGGATTAAGACACTATGTGGTAGGTTCAGTCATGTATTTGGCATCTGTAACTGTAAATGATTGTAAATGTGCACATCTATTATAAATTGATGTTGATTTTCTTTTGATGTATCATACATGCCGTAAATGAAGGGGAAACCGCTTTTGGCAAACAAATCAATTCAGCCCATCCCAAAGAAATGTTCGTCGTTAGTCTTCAGCTCCAAATAGACCCTGTCATCATCTTTCCGTGCAGAGCGCCAAACAGGAGGGTGTGCCAATGGAGTACGTGACGATCAACTAATCACTACTAGATACGTGTGATGATACTAGATGATACTAGTAGATTTGAGGTAGTCAGACAAACCCAGGATTCTCCAGGCCTTCTTGTTGGTGAGGATGCGCATGACGGCAGTGGCACCCTCTGGCTTCAGCACGTCGTCTCGGCGCAGTGTCAGCACCTGTGACAGGATGGACTCAGATTCAATTTTTGCCCGTCGTGCGCTGGTGTAAATCCTCCTGACAACCATTCGAACCATATACCCCCTGGTAAACTAACATAGCTATTGAAAATGGCCATTTGTAGTGGATTTTCCCATGAAAATTGGTGATTTTCCATAGTTATGTTAGTTTACCAGAGGGTAATATGGAGGTTTCCTAAAATATCTAAAATGGGGGTACCTCAACATGGTTTCCAATGGAAAATCCAATGGAAAATCCTGTTGCAATGGATGATTTGGAGGTATCCCCGCTTTAGGAAACCTCCATACGGAAAATCAGGTTGGAGTTCCCTTTCCCCAACCTGACCATGAGCAACAGAATTGAGATGGGCACGAAACCATCCCATTCTGGTTGGTGGTGCCAACCCCCGACGAAAAGGTAGTGGCCCATTGGGATTGGGAGTTGGGATAACATAGTTGAAGGCACCAAGCCAGATCATCCTAGGAATTCCTAGGTTGTATTCCCATGCAATTCTAGTGAAATCCCTATTTCTTGTTGGTAACACATGCTTTTATATATATATATATTTTTTTTTTGTTGATTGAACACCCTACACCCAGTTCCAGTTCTAGGTGGTGACTTAAATAAATAAATCTATATTATTTATTTATGTGTCTATTTATTTATTTTTTTTATTTATTGTTTTATCTATATTTATTTATTGTTGGTGATGCCCGTTGGTGAAAAAGCAAACCACCAAGGTTAAATCACCAGTTAGTTGTTTATGGATTACCCGCTGGTTAGTTAACATAGCTACTTTATAGATGCCCCGTTCGCAGATGATTTATGATGACTTTCATATCAAAAGAATTACTAAACATGTTAATGGTGATTTTCATAGCTGGAGGTGTCCTAAAACGGGACCCCCAACTCATCCACTTAAAATCACTTAAATAGGATGTTCCATTAGAAACAATCCATTTAGGTGGGTAATCCCATGTTTTGTTGCTAAACCCGGACACCTGGCCGGAGGGTCTTAGCATCTCTGCCCGAACCAGGTCGCCACGGAGCAGTTGCCTCGCCAACAGCAAGTGACGCGTGTACATTTACAAATCCCATAGGATGTATAATCCATTACACTTACTTGCCGACATCATCATCATCATCATCATCATCATCATCATCATCATCATCATCCTCGTCGTCATCATCACCACTGTCATCACCACCATTATTCTTGTTCTTTCATATGCAGTGTACAGTAATATACACTACTACTTGACAAGTCTTGAAGCACCCTTCAGGGAAAATTGAGACACGCTTTCATTGAAGACAACCTCTAGACATGACAATGGGAAAATCCTCGATAAATGGAGGTTTCATGAAGTCGCTGGAAAAATCATCGAACAAAAATTGCTGATTTTCCACTGCCCGCCACATTTGATTACCGGAGGGTCAATCTTTCCTAAACAGTTTCTCCAAAATGACAAAGGATCTCCTAGCGGTCCAGTGCTTTCTCTTTGGCCCCCTGGAGTTGGGAACATCCAGGCGGAACTGCAGCAGAGCGGCTCGTTCTTGAGCGCGGCATGAACCTCTGATGACTCATCCCCAATGATCCCCAGCAGCGCTTGGAAGGCTCAAATGATCCCCCTTATCCCTTGTTTTTTCATGTTTTTTGAAGGTATCTCCCACTTAACAAAAACCCACTCTGTCGATGAATACAGATGAATACAGGACATCCGGGACCAAAACAGCCTCTTCGACAGTGGAGAGGGGCCGCAGCATGAGCATCGTCGCCAGCTTGGACTTCCCTTTAGTGGCACCGGCGTAGCCGCCGGCGTAGCCGCCGCTCGTGGACGCCACAGATGGCCTCTGAGGGAACCAGGATCCAGCCAGGCGAACGCGGAAGATGCGGAAGGGAATTCTTGTGGTGACCTTCCCTTCCACCATCTACTCAAACCATCTCAAACCAATCAAAACAATATGAACGAGTCGGAACGAGGGAGGTTTTATGTGGTTTTCGGGATGGACAGCATTGGACAGCTATCTTTAAAATGATAACACCGCCTTCTTGGCACAAGAAACCATGGACTGGATGTATTACCCTCTTGTCAACTGAAGTCGGCCACAGTCGCCTCACAAAAAAAAACAAATTGCATTATTTTTTGGCACGGCCAGTCATGACCAGTCCCAACATCAGCCAACTTCCACCCAGCCAACGGATGCCAACAGCAGATCAAGCCAGAGGACAAGCTCTCAAGGGAGCTGAAGTCCAAGACGGGGCAGCAGAAAACAGGGCTGCGCTGCAACACGGCGCGGGAAAGCACCTGCCCACTATAAGCGAAACTGATCGAAACTGGGGATGCCCAGGTCTTTCAAAAATTGGAGATCTTGGCATCCCAAAATCGACAAAACATAATTCTCCATACACAGTGTTGCACAGGATCGCATTTGGATCATCGGGAAAGTTTTGCAAACACCTTCCGCACCTCCATAACTCCCGTGTTGCCATAGGGTTCCAACACGCGTTGTTTCAACATCTCCACCTCGCTTGCGAAGGAGACTCTGATCTTATATTGCGGCTCTGAATATGACTACAGTGACTACAGAGTACCGAAAACTGCCGATAAATCTAAGGGCAAATGCTTAGATGCTGAAATACCGCCATGAGAGGTGCTGAACGTTTTTCTTAAAATGTGCGTGTGTGTGTGTGTGTTCAAAGGTTCAATCACATCTTCCAAATGTTTTGCCCTATGTGGCCTATCTGAAAAATCCTGAAACTTCAGTGGAGTTGCGTGCGCAGTGGCGCAGTGGCAGTTGCTTTTCCAATCTGTCCCTGCTGATTTTCACCAAGCCATGGTCGATGAATATCGGTGGGTTGGATGCACCGCTGGGCCAAGATTGCTCCAAGAATCAACCAATCTCTAGGTCCCAACCCCGTCCAGGAATCTATTGCTGCCCAAGTGATTACGGAGATTCTCAGACAAGTGTGATTATTTACTAAGCTCCATCTTCACTCATCAAAGATTATGATAAAATCAATCCCCCCATTCAATAGCATTTTCCTTACTTTTCCCATGGTTTTCCCATGGTTTTCCATGGCTTTCCCATGGCTTTCCGCGTTTTTTCACCACGTGACTTGTTCCTTCACCTCCACCGGCGCCGTCTCCGCGAGCGTCACCGAGTTGCCGCCCTCCAGATAGCTCAAGTGTCCTGACGAACGTTGAGGACCTCATCGTCTGGTTGAGAAACGATATACCCTCTGGATTTTATAAATGGATTTTATAGTGGTTTAATGGATTTTATAGTGGTTTAATGGATTTTATAGTGGTTTAATGGATTTTATAGTGGTTTAATGGATTTTATAGTGGTTTAATGGATTTTATAGTGGTTTAATGGATTTTATAGTGGTTTAATGGATTTTATAGTGGTTTAATGGGATTCTATAGTGATTCAATGGGATAGGAATATACCACAATTGGCAGTGTGTCAAAACCAATAGTACCCCTGTAGTTCACATCAAACCAATCCCCCCCAATGTTCATTCCCCTAAAAATGGTATTTTCATAGGTATTGATCCATAGCCATATACCCTCTGGTACTGACTAACATTGCTATTGATAATGGCCATTTATAGTTGATTTACCTATTAAGAATGGTGATTTTCAATAGTTACGTTACATTACCAGGGGGTACATATAATGGTTGTATGATATACTAGTTGGTGATTTTAACCATCTTGAAAGATATTAGTCAATGGGAAGGATTATCCCATATATTATGGAAAATAAAAAATGTTCCAAACCACCAACCAGTATACAATGATAATGATGATCATATGATATATAATAATGATATATCATATGACAATAAATGGTGATGACAAACATATAACTATCTGTGTATCTCTGGTTATCTCTATATGTTATGTATGATTATATAATGATATATAATGATATATCATCTATATACCGATCTGAATTGGAAGTGTAGAAATGATGATGGATGATGAATGATGAATGGATACCCTTCGAATTGCCACATTTTTTGTGGCCTCTCCATGAAGCAACTGCGGGTCTAACAATCTTAGAGTCCACATGTCCACATGATGTATTTGAGACGGAGAAGTTCAAGGAATGAAGGACCCCCTTTGGTTCAACAGTTCCCATTGATTCAGAAGTGATTCTGAGGAGCAAGGCATGGATGGACACGATTTTGTTCACCCAACTGCAAAATGGCCCCAGCTTTTGCTGCCATGTGAATCAAGTGAGCAAGTGACAGTGCTGACAACTTACTGTATGATGGTTGATAGTGGTACAGTAGACTTGACTTCTGCATCTGGAGTTCAAACATCATGTCTAGTAAGAACCTCCTAGTGTGTTCAAACAGCTAAACCCGATTGATGTTTTCAGGGTTCCTCGTTCTTAACTTCCATCATAGCAACCCCCAAAAAGAATCCAAAAAGATGCAGAAACGTAAATTCCAACATAGTCCAACCATGTCCAATCCTTTAAAAAAGTGGTAGAAATGATGCCATTCTATCCTTTTCTTGGTGGTTTGTTGCTCCCCTTTATCCCCAACAGAAACTCAAAGTTTATATAAAGGCTACCCTCTGGTAGTCGAACTGTTTGCTATGGAAAATCGCCATTCTATATCTTAAAAATAACAGTTTCATAGGTAAATCATGGTAAATCAAACCAAATGGGCTATGGATGGCTATGGTTTCCAGTTCGAATACTGTTTGAATTAGAGGGTCCAATCCATCCACTGGCGGACCTTTCCGCTGCTGCTGCAGAAGCCACAGCTCGCTGCGCGCCGAAACGGGCACCGCCGCGTTCTCGAGGACGGCCTGTTGGGAAGTGCCGGAGTTTCTTTTTCTCCGCCGTTGGAGCAATTCATCCCCCCACGTTTTTGGAGAATTAGGGATCACTTAAATTCACTTTGGATGGAAAATCGCAAACATATGAAGAACATGCTTGAAACTTGAAATTGCCAACTGATTTTTTTCTGAAGGGGGTGGCCTGGATCAAAGTGTGTGTGTGTGTCTCTTCAATGAAGAAAAAATCCAGATTTTGTTTAAAAAAAATCAATTTTAACCGCCAACACCAACAACACC